AGTAGTAGTAGTAGTAGTAGTAGTAGTAGTAGTAGTAGTAGTAGTAGTAGTAGTAGTAGTAGTAGTAGTACTAGTAGTAGTAGTAGTAGTAGCAGCAGCAGCAGCAGCAGCAACAGCAGGAGGAGGAGGAGGAGGAGGAGGAGGAGGAGTAGTAGTAGTAGTAGTAGTAGTAGTAGTAGTAGTAGGAGTCGTAGTAGCAGTAGCAGTAGCCGTAGCAGTAGCAGTAGCAGTAGCCGTAGCAGTAGCAGTAGCAGTAGCAGCAGTAAGTAGTAGTAGTAGTAGTAGTAGTAGTAGTAGTAGTAGTAGTAGTAGTAGTAGTAGTAGTAGTAGTAGTAGTAGTAGTAGTAGTAGTAGTAGTAGTAGTCGTAATAATAGTCGTAGTCGTAGTCGTAGTCGTAGTAGTCCTAGTAGTCCTAGTAGTCGTAGTAGTCGTAGTAGTCGTAGTAGTCGTAGTAGTCGTAGTCGTAGTCGTAGTCGTAGTCGTAGTCGTAGTGCCAGACTGGGCCGCCTGGCCGCCAGGGGACGTTCCGCCGGGGGCCGCCGTCGCCGCCGAGAGCTGCGGGGCCGGCAGCGCGGTGTCTCCCCGCGGCGTTGCGGTCTGGGCCCCTCGGCCGGCGAGGCCGCGGCGCACGCGGGGCGCCGCTCTGCGCGGCTCCCCCGCGCAGAACGTGTCTCAGTATCGCTTATCCGACCCCCATCCCCATCCTCATCCCCATCCTCATCTTCATCCTCATCCCCGTCCCCATCCTCATCCTCATCCCCATCCCCATCCTCATCCCCATCCCATCCTCATCCCCATCCCCATCCCCATCCCCATCCCCATCCTCATCCCCTTCGAGACCCCCACCGAATTACCGCCCCAGTTGGGGATGCGCCCCTCGAGTCCCGAAGGGGACGGCCTGTATCCCCCTCGAGGGGGGCGAATCGGCCGGTGGGGCCCGGGCCGCGCCGCTGGGGATGGGGATCGGATAAACGATGCTCAGTGTCCGCGGGGTCGCGCAGCCACGGGACCGAGCTTCGGCACCGGGGCCGCGAGAGCCCTTGGCAGGCACGTGCTCGTCGGCCGGGGAAGTGCCGTGCTGCCCTCCACCAGCTTGGCATCGCTCGGACGTGTGCATTTTTCTGTCGGCGAGGACCGTCGAGGAGCATCCTTGATCATTTGGCGCAAAAGCCACGCGCGAAACTGAAAAAAGCACAGGGAATGGACGTCCGAGCGATGGCCAGCTGGGGGAACGGCACATGGCACGAGCATGAAAAACTCGGAGGTACGGACCTCCGAGTTTTATGCTTGTGTCATTGTTCGCTCCCCTACCCACCGCCAGCGAGCAGGGGCTGCGGCCAGGAGCTGTGGCTCGTCGTGCCGCGCCGCCGGTGTTGGCCCCTCCGCGCTCCGGCGCGGCACGCCATCCCCACGTCCCCAGGCTTGGATTGGGCGTCGGCGTTGGCGGCTCTCCCGGGCCTCCCGCCTCACGGAGCGGAGCCTCGCGCCATCCGCCGGCACGGCACAGCGTGCCGCCGGGGCCGCCGCCCCGACGCGCTGAGCACGAGCTCCCGAGCGTGCACAGGCCGAGGCTGCTCGCGGGCGGCTTCCTGTCGGCCCCCCGCGGAGCTTTTCGCGGCCTTCGGCCGGAGGCGTCTAGGCCTTTAGGCTTACACGCCGGTCGTTTAGGTATTTTTGGATTCCCAGGTCCCAATCTACTTCAAGCGCCTTCCTACCTCAAGAATCGACACGCTTTTGCTGTGTTTTGTTATTCTCTGGGGGGGCCTGGACCCAATCAACTTAATCCGCCCTCCTACTTCATGTTTTTACCTACTTCTTCCGACCGGCGTGTATGCTGTTCCAACCTGCTCTAGCCTTGACCGCAAGAAAGAATTTCGAGCACCAGTGGGATGTGGTCCTTCAGTCCGATGGAAGCATCATGCCTCTAGGTAGTCTGTCGCCATCGTCCGTTCCACGCCGCGAGGACGAGATCGAGGCTCTCAAGAAGGCCGCGCCCGCGACCCGGCCGCCCGCCGGAGGGGGGGGTGCGCCCGCCTGGAAAACAGGGCTCGAGCCAAACCGTGTCCTGGCGCGATGTCTTGTGGCCTGTTCTCGCTCTGATTCCGCTTCGCAGCCACTGCAGAGCGAAGACAGAGCGGGGGTTAACGAGAAGACTCTTCTTGCTGTTCTCCGCTCTGTCTTCGCTCTGCATTGAATTGCCGTATAGAAAATTCAATGAAAAATAGCCCCGCGCCAGAATCGAAAGTGTGAAACCAGGTCAAACGCCGGCGTAAGCGCAAAATCGTCGCCGGCAACCCATCTGGTTTTGCCGGGGGGCCCGGCCCCCCCCCTCAACCCCGACTTTCATAGAGAAGAGCACGTCCACGAAGCGCGCTGTTTCTTCTCTCGAGCCCTGCTGGAAGCATGTCTCTGCGGGCCGCGCGCGCGCTGCGCGCGGGGGGGGCCAACGCCGAAAGGGGGGCTGCGGGTGCGGCCTTCGCACGAGGGGCGGGAGCAGCCGCAGCAGCTCTGGAGAGGGCATCCTCGGGCAGGCCTCGGGGCAGGCAGAGCTCCAGGAAGGCCGCTGGATCTCAGCGATCCCCGCTTCGTCCCTGCCCGATTGCGTCCCTGTCCTGGTCTCGTCTTCATCCTGGTTCCAGTCGGACGACAAGGGGGGGGGGGCAAGGGACACGGGGGAGCACGAAATCTGCTGCATGCCGTGTCTCGGCGCTCGCCGCCGAGCGCTTTCCTCAATTCAGAGAGGGCGCCTCCTGCGCCAGGAGGCGGCAGGGAAACGAGCTCCGTGAGCTGATCCGCCAACCCCCTCTTTACTACCCTCAAGTCGGGCACGTCCCTCCACAGGGGGAATAGTCAAGAATAGTCGAAACATCGTCTGGGGACGATTTTGTTTTGATGATGTTTGACCATGAAGGGGCATTTCTTGACTATTTTTATTCTGCGTGCAAAATCCGCCTGTAGGGGACATGCCCGATCTAATACTACCCCCTTCTCTTCCAACCCGACTGAGGTTCTTCGTGTCTTGGGCTCTCCGCTTCGGAATGTTTTCCGTTCTAGGTTTCTGTCGGGCTTGTCCCTCTACAAGAAGAATATGCAAACATAGTACAACATAATCTGGGGACGGTTTGTGTATTTTTTAATACATCTATGTAATTACACCTATGTTTAGTTGTTCGTCCAAAATCCGCCTGAAGGAGAACATGCGCGACCTAATTCTAGGAGCATGGTACATCCACGGGGCCTTGGGATCGCGTTCTTTTGACCCACGTTCTCGTGGCCATGCATCGATTGCGACCGAGGCGCTCTTGGACGAGTTTCGGCCTGTTGCAAGCACGTCAAGGCGATTCGGTAAGTTGACCGAGAGCCCTAGCGCGATGCATGTTCGCTGCTTGCTTTGCTGAGGGACGGACTAGGGACTAGGCAGTTTCTGCAGGTAAGATGAAGCCTAGGTCAAGCTAAAGTCTAAAATCCAACAAGAAGTGCTCAGTGGTGTGTATTGTGAAGCCCTTACGGTCGGTGCCGCCGACGCAGAAGGACGACCACGGCCACGACCACGACGACAACGACAACGACAACGACGACGCTCAGGACATGAAGCTGGTGTTGGGAGGGAGGAGAAGGAGAAGAAGGAGGAGGAGAACGATGAGGAGGGGGAGGATGAGGAGGGGGAGGAGGAGGAGGAGGAGGAGGAGGAATAGGAGGAGGAGGAGGAGCAGGAGGAGGAGGAGGAGGAAGGCTGGAGAGCTGGCGGTCCACTTGCCAGCCTCCAGCGCCCCTCGGCCCGACGCGGCTGCACCGGGCCGCGAGCTCGGGCCCGCCGTGCCAGCTGACCTCCGGGAGGATGGAGGAGACCGTCGAGGGCGGGTGGGCCCTCGGGGCGAGGGGGGGGAAGTGGGGCGGACGGCGTCGGTGGTGGGGGGCGGGGCGGGTGCGGGGGGGGGGGGAAGGGCAGCACGCTTTTGCGTGGCCCCCGAGACGTGCTGCGTCCGGGGCCGAGGCCCCCCCTCGATGGGTGCGGTGGGGTCTCCCCGCGCACGGGGGCAGGGGCAAACTTCTGCTGTCGGTGCGCGGCGTGCTGCGCCGATGTCAGGCCAGGCCAGGTGCTTGGCATCGCTCGGACGTGTGCATGTTTCGTTCGGCGAGGACCATCGAGGAGCAGCCTTGATCATTTGGCGAAACAACCACGCACGAAACCGGAAAAGCACAGAAAATGGACGTCCGAGCGATGGCCAGGGCCAGGAGTGGCGTGCGCGGTGCAGGAGGCGTACCAGCCGGCGCGGGCATCCATGTCCAGTCTGGTCGCGCCAAGAATGGGCGGCGTCCCCATCGGGCGACGCGCGAAGCCTGACGGTCAGCCTCCCAGGTCCTCTGTTCCGAGGCCCGAACACCATCACGTCACCAATTTTGGGCCCCCGGGCCCACTGAGGCCCCAGGGGCCCCAGATCAGTGAAGTGATGCTTTTTCCCACGTCAGGACCCCGAAATTCACCACTTCACTAAACCGAGCCCAGGACGAAAGTCAGGGGCCGAATTGCTGCTGTGATGCAACATAGGTCTCGTATCTGTCCAACCAGGACACGGAGTTGCAGAGTCGGGCGATTTTTTCTCCGCTGCTTCATGGCGTCAGAGCCAATGGCTCCGAGCTGGCACGCTGTTGCAGGGAGCGCGCCGAGGGAGACGGTGTTTGCAAACTCTCGGTCAGCTCGAGGGCGACTTGCCGCGTGCCCAGGCATTCGGAGAGAAGGCCCGTCGAGATGGGTCGGAAGAGGATTCCGACCCGAGTCCGACGGGTGCGATTCTGTTTCGTTGATTTGCGTTGAGCTTGATTTGCAACAATCTCTGTGTGTCCCTCTGTCTCTCTGTCTCATGGCTTCTCTATTTCCCCATCCACCTTTTATTATTCTTGTTATCCTTCTTCGTCCTCCTTCTCCGCCTCCCCCTTCCCTCTGTCCGTCGACGCGAGGCCCTGTGCATACTCGGCGCCTACGAGAAGTTCGGCCCCGACGGCGCCAGCGACGCGTGCTGAGCGGGGTCGTCGGCGGCGAAGGGGGGCGGGCGGCCGATGGGGGCTGCCAGGCGCGGAAGCGGTGTGTGACTCTTCCTCCCCGCGGAAAAAGGACAGAAACTTGCTGCAGTCTTTGCTCGGCACGAACGAAATTGGTAGGGAAAGAATGGGTACAATGCCCAACAGCAGTTCCTGTTCATTTGGAGCAGAATTCGCTGTCCGCGCCGCCGCGGCCTGTGTCCACTTGAGACAGAAGGCCGCCTGCCCAACAGCGGCCGCTTCTGGTTTGGGACAACATTTGTTGTTGGGCATTGTACCCACTTTTTCCGTACCCATCTCGAGCGTTCAAATTTGCCCCGGCCTCTGCGCTCGCCTGGCATGCCCCAGGTCGGCCCCGCTGCTCGGCCGAGAACAAAGACGGCACCAGCATCGCGGCCCTGCCTCGAAGAAGAAACACGACAATAATAGCGATCGTTTTTCGGCGCGATCCCTCACACCCCCTCTCCCCTCCCCCCCTGGAGTGAGTGGATCTTGGCTGTTTTTTGGCGCCTGTTTCGAGCAGGTGGAGTCCCCCCCATGGGACGCACTGCTGCAAACAGTCGCACTAAGCAGAGGTCCGGAGCCAGACCCCCCCTCCCCCCCCTTCCGCCCAATGTCGAAACGCCGATTAAGAAAACGCTCACATCAGCTTTCGGAGGTCCGCGCGGATTTTCGGATCGGCGCTGGACCCCACTGGCGGTGCCTCTGGCGCCCCCCCGGCGCGCTCCCGTGCGCCAGGGGAGGGGGGTCCAGCGCTGAGCCGAGAAATCCGCCTGGACTTAAGTCGGGCATGTCCCTCTACAGGAGGAATATATCAAGAGTGGTAAAAATAGTCAGGTGACGATTTTTTTAATATATCTTTTGTGATTACTTTGTGAATCTGTTTTGATACATGCTTATTTTTCCTCCAAAATCCGCCTGCAGGAGGACATGCCCGACATAAGCTCGGGGGCGGAAAAGAGGGGGGTGGTGACTAGGGGGGGGGTGGATATCATGGCGGGGGCCATGATATTTCCCCAGATTTTATGGCGCCTCTTCTCATTTCATTACGTCCCTGGCCCCCCTGCTGTGCCGCGCACATGCCGCCGGCCATGATGTGCACCCCCCCCTCTTGGACACCCCCCTCTTGGCCGCTCCCGATAAGCCTGGACCTCCCAGCTCATGCGCCCAGTCATCCTCGCAGTCTGGGGATGCGAGGGCCCGCCCCGCCCAGGCACGCACCGCTTCGCTGCCTCGGGGCGGGGCCCCGTCGCCGATGCCTCGGCGACGTGTCGCCGATTCCAGGTTTAGGTCGGGCATGCCCTACAGGCGGATCTTGGACGAAAAGTATAAAAAGTAGCCAAAACATGCCAAACAGCAATCCACAAATCGTGGAAGCATCGTTCCCATCATATTTTTGGACTATGTTTGAATATTCCTCCTGTAGAGGGACATGCCCGACTTAATTCCAGGTCGAAGCGTCTCCCGCCCGAGCCGGCCACCCCTGGCGTCGGAGGCCTCGAGTTCGACACCAATTTTAGTATTGGCGGAGTGCCTCTACCGAGGGAAGATGCTCCCAATCTCGGTGATGGTGGTGATATTCGGGCTTCTTAGATGGCCGACGTATTACCACCAACACCAAAGGTTTAGAATCATCTTCCCCCTGTGGAGGCAACCTCCTGTGTTGGTGTTGGTGCCCTTGTCAAGGCCTCCAATATCGCTGCCCCTCATCGGGGAGGAGGAGGAGGAGGAGGAGGAGGAGGAGGAGGAGGAGGAGGAGGAGGATTTTGCGGGCGTTCCGAGAAGGCCCCCCGCCTTCTGGGGAGGGCGCTTCATTCACCCTGCCCCCTTGGCGCTTCTTCAGCATCGCCAGGAAGGAGGACGGCACGGAGTCCTGGGGCCGTCTTCGGGAGCTTTGAGACGGGGTCAGTGCAAACGAGAGTCAGCCAGAGCGCTCGATTTTGCAGGGTCCTGCAGAACCAGGGTCGCATTGACCCGGGTTTGGGTGCAGTATCTGGCAGCATCTTGCAGGACTCTGCAAGGCATGACTGACCCGGGTCTGGACTGACCCGGGTCAGAAGATCCCCGACGTCTCGGGAGGTCTTTGGGTCGTCTTGGGTCGGTCGTGAACCGGGCGGGGCTGGGGCGGGGATTCATCGCTCCAGAGAGCGCCCCCGGACGCTCTCGGAGAGTTCGGAACGCTCAGAGGAGGCCGCGGCGCCCGAGACATCCTCCAGAACCGCCTTCTCGCAGGGATTCCCGATGTATCCCTGTCCGATGTTGTCCCTGTCCTGGCCCTTGGCCCGTCGGATTGAATGGCTTCTTGCGGTCGTCGTGGCGGAGTTCCGGTCGTCCTGCGGCTCTGCTCCAGGCGTCTCGTGGAGCCGCCCTCGGGTCGGTTTTTGGGTCCCCCCTTGGGATGCCTCCGAGGCTCTTGCTGGCCACCGTCTGAAGAGGGCTGGGCGCCCTCCGGTCCAGCCCCGTCTGGCCGCGCGGCAGGTTGGGAGGCGTTGCAAGGCTTCGCTTCCGTGAGGCTCACGGCCACGTCCGATGAGCGCCCGGGAAGTCTGGCAAGCTTTAAATCGGGCGTGTCCCTCTACAGAAGGAATCTTCAATAATAGTACAAAGATAATCTGGGGGCGATTTCTGACAATTTGTGAATATGTTCGAGCAGTTTTTGACTAATTTATATTTAATGTCAAAAATCCGCCTGGAGGAGGACACGTCCGACCTAAGGCAAGCTGGAACGCGGGGCACTCGGGAGGCTTCGATATTTCTGCTGGTCACGGGCGCAGGACCCCTGGGCTGAGGGCAGGCTTGCGGATTCCTGGCGGAGGCCTCATGATGATGTGATGATGATGAGGAGGATGAGTAGGATGAGGAGAAGGATGAGGATGATGAGATGAGGATGATGATGATGATTATGAGGACGAGGATGATGATGGTGCTGATGAGGATGATGATGATGATGAGGATGCGCATGAGGATGAGATGAGTATGATGGTGATAATGGTGATGATGATGATGATGATGATGATGATGATGATGATGATGCTGATGCTCATGATAATGAATAAAAGCATGCTGACGAAGAAGAGCATGATGATGCAGATAGCGATGATGATGCTGATGATGATGGTGGTGGTGGTGACGATGATGACGATGCTGATGATGATGCTGCTGATGATGATGCTGATGATGCTGATGATGATGAGAAGGAGTAGGTCGCGCACGAGGATGACCAGGATGATGATGAGGATGAGGATTTTGATGATAGTGATGATGAAGAAGATGATGATGATGCTGATGATGGTGCCGACGATGATTCTGATGCTGATCATGCTGATGATGATGATGATGATGATGATGATGATGATGATGATGATACTGGTGATGATGACGATGACGATGATGATGATTATGATGATGGTGGTGATGGTGATCATGATGGTGGTGGTAGTGATGATGACGCTGATGGTGATGACGATGCTGATGATGATGATGCCGATAATGCTGCGGATGATGATGATGCTGATGATGATGGTGGTGATGATGATGATGACGATGATGATGGTGGTACTGGTCGTCATGACGATGATGTTGATGATGTTGCTTTTGGTTGTAAGGCTGACGACGAGGACGCTGATGATGACGAAGCTGCTGCTGATGATGACGATGATGATAATGACTATTCTTATTTACATTATTGCGACTATTATTATGTGAACGACGATGGCGATGGTGATTATTTCTATGACGAGGACGATGGTGACGATGCTGATGATGCTGATGCTGATGCTGATGCGGATGCCGATGCTGATGATGATGATGATGCTGATGTTGATGCTGGTGATGATGATGCTGATGATGATGATGATGATGAGGATGCTGATGATGACGATGATGACTATGATGACACTCATGATGCGGACGCTGATTCTGGTTCTGATGATATTTATAATGAGGATGCTGCTGATGATGTTGATGATGATCATGATGATGATGATGATGATGATGATGATGATGATGATGATGATGATGATGATTCTGCTGAACAGCATGTTGATGGCGCTGATGATGATGATAATTGTGGTGGTGGTGGTTGTGATGATGATGATGATGATGATGATGATGATGATGATGATGATGATGATGATGATGATGATTGTGGTGGTGATGATGCCACAGCTTATGATGATGCCGACGATGATGACGATGGCGATGATGCTGATGCTATGGTGAGGATGCTGACGATGACGATGCTGATGTCGATGACGATGGCGTTGATGATGCTGATGACGATGACGATAATGATGATGCTGCTGATGATGATGGTGATTATGAGGATGTTGGTGCTGATTACGTTGATTATGATGATGACGATGCTGATGATGATGATGATGATGATGCTGATGATGATGATTCTGATGATGATGCTGATGATGATGATGCTGATGATGATGATGATGATGATGATGATGATGGTGATGGAATGGGAGTGTAATCATAATGGTATAGGAGGATAAGGGGGATTAGGACGCAGGACAGAGGAAGGGGGAGAAGGGGGGAGCAGGAAGGATGAACAAGGAGTAAGGATGACGAAGGAGGCATGATGAGCAAGGAGGAGGAGGTTGGACGGAGGAGGAAAGAGGAAAGAGGTGGACATGCTGATGATGATGATGATGATGAGGAGGAGGAGGAGGAAGAGGAGGAGAAGGATGACGAGGATGATGCTGTTGTTGATGATGCTGATGATGCTGTTGTTGTTGATGCTGATGATGATGATGCTGCTGATGATGATGCTGATGATGATGCTGATGATGATGATGATGAGGATGATGATGATGATGAGGATGAGGATGAGGATCATGCTGATGCTGACGCTGATGCTGATTCTGCTGACGAGGATGATGAGGAGGAGGAGGCGGTGGAGGCGGAGGAGGTGGAGGTGGAGGCGGATGTGGAGGAGGTGGGGGAGGAGGTCCTGACATCGCAGCCCGCGGACCCCAACCCATGCGGCCCGAGGCATGCCGATCCTCTCGCGGCAGGGCCTGCGCATCCCTCCCGCTCTGCTGGTTCCCGCCTCTCCTGGCTCCCTCCTTTCCTCCCTCGCTCCTCCTCCTCCTCGTCCTCATTTTTCATCCTCCTCCTTCTCCTTGTGTTCATCCTCCTCACCCTCTTCTCTCCTGGTCCTCATCCTCCTCATCCTCCTCACTCCTTGTCCTCATCCTCCTCCTCATCCTTCTCTCCCCTCGTCCCCCTCCTCCTACTCCCCTTTCCTCCTCCTCCTCCTCCTCCTCGCTCCTCCTCCCTCCTCCTCCTCCTCCGCCTCCTCTTTCTCCCCTCCTCCTCCTCCTCCTCCTCCTCCTCCGCCTCCGCCTCCGCCTCATTCTCCTCCTCCTCTCTCCTCCCTTCTCCTGCTCATCCTCCTCCTTCATCCTTTCTTTCGTACGTTGGCCCCCTTCCTCCTTCCTTCTCCTCCTCCTTCCTCCTCCTCCTCCTCCTCCTCCTCCTCCTCCTCTCTCCTCCCGTCTTTTCCTCCTCTTCCTTTTTCCTCTTATCTCCCCCACTGGTCGCACCTCCAGGCGTCGGTAAGGTGGGCTGGGCGATTCGCATTGGACTTCCTCACCGTTTACGATCCTGAAGCTTGGATTCTGCAAGAGCTTTCAGGATGGTGGGCGGGCCGTCTTCAACATGTGGCCCTCGTTTTCGCGCCGCGCACGTTTGTTTTAATCCTTTGCAGCAGTTTCCATGATCGAGGGCGGGTGGTTTTCAACATGTGGCGCTCGTCTTACCGCCGCGCACATGTGTTTTTGGAGCTTGCAGCAGCTGCAAGGATGGAGGGCGTGTGGTTTTCAACATCTGGCTCTTGCCTTGACGCCGCGTACATGTTCTAAACCATGCAGCAGTTTCAAGGGCGTGTGGTTTTCAATCTGTGGCTCTCGCCTTCGCGCCGCGCACATTGTCGTACAAACTCGCATCCGTTTCAAGGGTGGAGGGCGTGTGGTTTTCAAACTGTGGCTCTCGCCTTCGCGCCGCGCACATTTCCTGTTTGCAGCAGCTTCAACGATGGAGGGCGGATGATGTTCAATATTTGTCTCTCGCCTTCACGCTGCGTGCATTCGTCTTACAAGTACGCAGCAGTTTCAAGGATGTAGGGCATGCCCTTTTCAAGCTGTGGCCCTCGCCTCAGCGCCGCGCGCATTCGTCTTCAAACTTTGCAGCCGTGGCAAGAATTCGTGAGGTTTCAGCAGCAATGATGTTCTGCCACGATTTATTAGTACTACCAGGACGTACTAGTCACGTTGAGTCGCAGTGTGGAAGTCCAAGGAATGGTGCGCTGGCACGGTCTAGGATTGTGTGGACGCAATCGTAACGTTGAGCCGCGGCGATGAAATCCAATGAATCGTGTTTTGACACGATTGAAGACTCTCATACGCTTACCTTTCAATGGGGCACTTGCCGCGACGAACATCGATTCTTGTAGAGACTCGTGAAGAGTAATTTTGGATGGCGGGTCAGTTGCAGCATCGTTGGTGCGCCTTGTGTTTACACTGGTCCTCTTCCTCTTCCTCCTCCTCCTCTCTCCTCCTCCTCCTAATCCTCCTCCTCCTCCTCCTCCTCGCTCCTCCTCCCTCCCTCCTCCTCCGCCTCCGCCCTGCCTTCCTTGCTTCCACCCCCACCCTCCATCAGCACGCAGACCGCTGTAATGCCGGGTGCTCCGCCTCCGCCCTTTGCCCTCCCTCCTCGCTCCCACCTATACAGTGGGGGCCCATGCCAAGAGACACCCTGCGTGCCTCCAGGGATGCGGTTTCTTGGGCTTCGATGGTTCTGCTATGGGGAGCGTAGCGTTCCCACACCAAAAATCAGTGAACGTCCTGGGGTCTCAGGATCGGGTTTCCTGCAGAAGGTTTCCTGTGGTCGGGACCCTTCTGTGTATCTTCCCTCCCTATTTTTTTTTTTTCTCTCTCTCTCTCTCTCTCTCACTCCCTCCCAACGCGAATCGAAGCGAGCATTCAAGTCGGATCGCGTCCGACCCATGGCTTAAAGCTTACGGCAAGGCCGAGAACCTCGCTGGCCAGCGCTCGTAGTTCCGTTTCGACTCGCATGATTGTTTACGTTCGCTCGCTCCCTCCTTCTCCCTCCGGCCCAGTGCGCCCCGGGGACCCTCCAGCCGAGGGGCCTCGTCCGGGCCCATCCTGCAGCATCGTCGCTTTGCTGATGTTCCGCTGCTGTTCCCTCCGATCCCGCCTCCTGCCCCTCTCTTACCAGCCTGGAACATATCCCTATGTCTATGCTGGGCACCTCCTCATCACGATGCCAATCTCAGGGATTCCCTTATTTTTTGAGGGCGAATCCCTAAGATTGTCATCGCCTTTTGGATGGGCGCTCTGGGCAGCATTTGAGCGCGGGGAGAAGTCGCGCGAGCGTCGTGGCCCCTATTGGCTATCTTCTTGCTTGTCTCTAATGCTGCGGGACGGCTATTCACGGCTGAGGCGGATCCCCACCCTGCGCGCCCGCGAGCGCGTTCTCGTCGCAGGTGAATGGGATTTGTCTCACGCGTGGCCGTCCCGCTGGCGGGATGCGTTTTTCGCGCGCGTTCGCTTGGCCGCTCCGCCGCCTCTTTCTCCCGTCGCAGGTTCCCCCCCCCCCCCCTCCTCCCGCGCGCGCGTCGCTTGACCGCTCCGCCGCCTCTCTCTCCCGTCGCAGGTTCCCCCCCCCCCCCCTCCTCCCGCGCGCGCGTTCGCTTGGCCGCTCCGCCGCCTCTCTCTCCCGTCGCAGGTTCCTCCCCTCGCCCCTCCTCCCGCGCGCGCGTTCGCTTGGCCGCTCCGCCGCCTCTCTCTCCCGTTGCAGGTTCCTCCCCTCCCCTCCTCCCCCACAGGTCCGCGCGTCTACTTCGTGGAGAGCACCTACGTCCCTCGTCGGTTTTGCGGCTCGAAGGTCAGGACACACATGAGTACGGGTCATCCTGGGCCGAATGCCGACCCAGTGCGCAGTATGCCTGCGGATGCCGTATGCCGGCCACTTGTCCCCTGCGCTGTACTGCAAGTGCGCGCCGTATGCTGGTCCCTTGTGCGCAGTATGCCTGCGGATGCCGTACGCCGGCAATCGTTCCTCTGTGCAGTATGCCTGCAGTGTGTGCCGTATGCCGGCCATTGTGCGCAGTGTGCCTGCGAATGCCGAATGCCGGCCCTGTACGCAGTATGCCTGCGATTGCTGCCTGTCAGCCCCTCTCCGCAGTATGCCTGCGCGTGCGGCTGTATGCCTGCAAGTGGGCGCCGTATGCCGGCCATTGAGCGCAGTATGCCTGCGAGTGCCGTATGCCGGCCCCCCCCCCATAGCGCAGTATGCCTGCGTGCGTTGCAGTATGCCTGCAAGTGTGTGCCGTGTGCCGGCCCTTGTACGCAGTACGCCTGCGGTTGCCGTATGCCGGCCCAGTGCGCAGTGTGCCTGCGGATGCTGCCTGTCAGCCCCGGTGCGCAGTATGCCTGCGGCGTGCGTTTGCCTGCCCTCTTGCGCTGGGTGCCTGCGGGTTATGTCATGTGCAACCGCCAGCGCGCGATAAGGACGCCGAGGGGGGTACGTGCACGGCGCTTTCCGACGCGCGCGCAGCATCCATGGCGCTGGCTCGCTCAGACATCGTTGAGTTGCTTGGCGATCTGCCTGCTGGCGCATTCGGCACCGACAAAAATGCCATCAGGGCGCGCGCGCGCGTCTCCGTGCGTCTACCGCGGGCATGAGCCCACTCGCAGCGGCGCGCAAGGCCGATTGGGTCCTCTTCGTCGCAGCGGCCAACGCGGCGGAGGGGGGCGCGTCGCCAGCTCCCGAGCTGGTGCTGCGCACCACGGTCGCGCGCCTGATGGCCGAAGCGATCGGGGCGGTCCGCCCGATTGATTTTTCGGATGCGGCCATGCGCGATATGTTGATTGCGGCCCTGAAGCCAGGCGCGAAGCCGTTTGCGGGCGATTCGTCCGCGGAGTGGCGCGATTTCGCGATTAAGCCGTGCCGCATCAATATGGCGCTGCGGACGCAGTCGCGAGCGATGGAAGCCTTCGGGCGGAAGGCCCCCGCCCCGTTGGTGCGCGAGGACGCGGGCCGCCGCACGGCGTGCCGCCAGGAGGGTCAGCAATCGGCCCCGGCGGAGGCGGCCGCCAAGCCCGCGGAGGAGACGACGCGGATTGCGGCGGCAATGGAAGAATACGTGAAGGCCAGCAAGGAATTGCTCGAAGAAAAGCGGGAGAAGCCGCTGGCGTTTGCCATGGAGGCGCGCCGCGTTTTCGCATGCGCGGGCGGCATTGTTCGGGGATACGCGCCTCGGCAGGACCGCGTGCGCGAGGTCTGGCTCGGCAAGTTCCCCCGTGAGGGATTGCCGACCGAGGAGTCGATGCGCAAATTCGCGGCCGCGGGCCGGACGGCCCAGTCCCATGGCCGCTCGTACATTGGGAGCGCCGAGGGCGAGAGCCTGCAGGCTCCTTGCTCGGCGGCACGTGCAATGACAAGCTTCCGTTTCGCCGATTGCTCCGCGCGCAGGACCGCTGCGAGCCCCAATGGGCGCGAATGCCGAAGCTGGACTCGGTGCCGGCGGGGGCGGGCTCGTGGCGCGATCGCGCGTCGGCCGTCACCGCGGCGAACCGCGCGGGTGCGGCCCTGGACCGAATGGATTTTCTCGGTTATGCGCACTTCCAGGTCGCGCGCGACGCAGCGCAGCGCGCGCGCCCACGCGCGCCCCGTGGCGCGAGGCCCACGTAATGGAGTGGGGGCTTCGCTGCATCCTGTCCAAAGTGTTTGATCCCGTCGTGCTATTGGGATACATGTACCAGCTCGCGCGCGTGAGCGAGGAGCACGGGGGCGTCAAGGCGCGTCCGCGGAGCGGCGGGCCCGATGCCCAGGGAGCCGCGCGCGGGAGCCCGCGCCGCGTCCAGGTTTCCTACACGTGCGATTTGCTTCTCCGCCAGAAAGTGGCGAAAGACCTGGAACACGGCGACGAGGATGCGACGGCCTCGTTCACTGCGTTGTCGCGGGACATTCTGCGCGCCGCCAAGGAGCGCAGCGCTTTTGAGTGGCCGCCGCCCTGGCATCGTGCATCGCGCTGCGCGCTGTAGGAGAGAGTCCAGCAGTCGGACCGCCAGGCGGCGTTCGCCAAGGGCGGGGGCAAGAAAGGCGGCAACGACCGGCGCGACCAGGCGCGAGCCCGCGCGTGCGCGCCCCGCGAGCGCGAGCACGCGTCGCGGCGCGCGAGGCGGCGAAGCCACGGACCCCGGTGAGCCCTGTCCTCCGCCAGCGCTCGCGCAGCCCCCGCCGCGATACCTTCAGCAAGAAGGGGAGCGGAAAGGCCGGCAAGGGAGGGGCTCCCAAGGACGCGGGGAGCTCGTGGCACAAGCCTGAGCGAAAGGAGTCCTGGCGGTGGTGAAGCCAGGGCGCCGGCGCTGTGCATGCTAATTATTCGCCCGCCCGAGGCGCGCTCCGCGCGCGCGCGCGCGCCCCCCCGCGGGGGCGCCGCGCCAGCCAGTGATGCAGACGACGGGGCCTCCCCATTGCACCCTGCCGACAGCGGTGAGGGCGCAGCGTGGCGCGGGCCGTCGCCCGAGGGGCAGGAGGCGCCGCCAGTGCGCCGCGCGCGAGACCGCCCCGCCCGCGGCGAGCGCAGCGCAGGACGCGGATGTTGATTCCGACGACGGCGCCGAAGGCGGGGGCGGCGACCTTTGCCCCCAGCAAATCCACGATGCCGGCTGCGCATTTGAAGAGGCCCTTGCCCGCCGCTCTACGGGGGCGGAGCCGCGAAGCGCGCGCGCGCAGATCAAAGCCGCCGTGGATGCGTTGCTCGACGACGAAGACAAGAGGGCGGGCATGAGCCCTCTTTGCCACGCCGCCTGGGCGGCACACTTGCCGCGGGTCCGCGAGATAGCGCCGCTTGCGGGACCTGAGCGCGATGCGGCGGTGGCGGCGAGCCAGACGAGCGACGCACTCTTGCAAGAGAGGCGCGAGGCGGCGTTGCAATTTTGGCGAGAGCGCAAACGTGTGACGGCTTCAGAATGGAAGGCGCCGCCCGGCACGCCGCTACCGCGAAGCACCGGCGGAGAGCGCGGTCGGGCGAGGCACGCTATGCGAAGTTACCATGGCATGTGCGCTCCGTCCTTGGGCCTGACAAGAACTTGTTGCTTTTGGCCGAAATGATGCAAGCTGCTGGGGTGACCAGCGACGCAGCGCGCGCGCGCGACAGCGGGGCGCGGCTCCGTGCTTGAGGCGTCCGACGAGAATTTGACGCGTGACTTGGAGCGGGGCTTCCCGCTAGTGGGGGTCCTGCCGCGCTCGGGCATGAACGCGCCCGTGACCCCCAAGGGAGCCGAATGCCCATCCGAGTTGCGCAGCCGAGCGGACACTTTGAACGCCGCCACCCTCGAGCGCGTGTCTCGGGATCTGGGGGCCGACGCGGAAGTCACCCAGATTTTGCATGATAAAGCATACGAAGAGGCGCGCGCCGCGCAAGCCAGCGGGGGCAGTCGCCCATGCTGCGACGTCCGCGAGCGTGCAGGTGGCCGCGGGCCAGGCAGCGTGGGTCCGGTTGTCCGACCTGCCACGCGGGGCGGTGTTAAACCCGCGATTCCCTGTAGACGAGGGATGGCGCTGGAAGTTGGAAGAATGGATACGCAAGGAATGGCGCATTCGCCGCGGCATGCACCGCCCCCTCCCCTGGGCGCCGCGCCGGGAGCCAACGCGTCCAGGTACGCGCGATCGACGATTTCACTGCCACGGGCGTTAATGACTGCGCCGCCGCAGCCGAGAGGTGCAGGCGGGCCCTTTCCCCCCCCCCCCCGCCCCTCGCGCGCGCTGTCCGCTCTCCCGTGTCGCCGCGACCGCGCGTAGGGTGGATTCTCTCGATGCCCTGGTCGAGCTGGCGCGGATCGCGGCCGCGGCCGGCGCGCCGGTGCTGAGCAAAGAAGATTTCATCGGTGCTTACAAAACGTTGCCCGTGCGAGGCGCCGACCTCCCGTTGGCCCATTCGGCATGGGCCAAGGGAGCCCGCGAGGGCTACTGTCTGCAACTCTTGAGCTGCCCCTTCGGCGCCGTGGGCAGCGGATGCGCTTGGGACCGCGTTGGGGCGGCGCTCCAGGCGCGAGGCGCGAGCGCCGCGGCGGCACGGCGAGCGCCCCGCGAGCGCGGCAGGCCATCCTTGCCAAGCTGTTCTCGCTCGCTTCGGGCCGATTCGTGGACGATCTGTTCCGGGCCGACGCGGACAGGGGGCCCGGCACGGGCGGCCCCCGCGATGCCGCAGAGGTCCTGAGGGCGGTCGTCGAAGACCTTTTGGGCTGGCGCCTGGACGCCGGCAAACGCGTTGTTGCCGAGCCGAGGGCCACTGTGCTCGGCGTCGACGCGGAAGTGCGCGGATCGGGCGATGAGCTCTCGTTAGTATTCGCGATCGGTGGCGACAAGCGCCACAAATGGATCCAAGAGATCGAGTGGGTGCTGGAGGCAGGGAGAATGTCGCCGGCGGCGGCATCAAAACTTGCCGGCAGACTCGGATGGGGCTCCTCTGCGGTGTTCGGCAGAGGCACGCCCAAGCTCCCGCGCGCGAGCGACGCGCGCGCGCGAGAGCGACGGCAGGTGCCCGGGTATACCTCGCCCCGCTGTTCTGGCACGCGCAGCAGCGGGGATGGAGGTTGAAGTCGCGGCTCCGCGGGGCATTGGAATGGTGGCTGCGCTTCCTCCGGAGCGCGCCGGAACGAGCGGTGCCCCTGCGGGTGACCCCGGAGCGGCCACGCTACCTCGTCTATTCCGACGCGACGGGCGGCGGCAGGCGACATACGCGCGCGCCTGTTTGGAACGGCGCCCGCATTGCCCGGCCCGCCCCGCCTCCGCAGGCTCGCGTGGGTCATCATTGGGCCCAGCGGTAAGCGCTATGCAGCGGCTGACGTGCCTTCGTCGATCAAGCGGTGGACGAAGCACCGCAAGACGCAGGCGGGGGCGCCCCGGCCACGCGTAGCCTGGCGGACAACCCGCCGTGTTGCGAGAGGTCGCGGCATGGGAACTCGTCGCGGCCGTTTGCGCCTTGCATCATTTGTTCGCGACGCTGCGCGATGCGGAAATCGTGTTGTTTGTCGATTCGAAGGCGCGGCCGGGCGCGGGTCGCCGAGCTGCCCGTGCGATGCCCCGCTGACCGCGCCAGGCCGCGCTCGGGGTGCTCCTACGCGGGACCTCGCGCCAGGCAGATTATAACGCGCTCGTGGCAGATATTTGGTTCGCAGCAGCGACCGCGCGGTGCCTCCTGAGCGCGTGGTATGTGCCATCCGCGCTCAACGTGGCAGACGCCCCTACGCGGCCCGCCACGAAGGCGGCCGCGATTGCGGCCATGCACCGCGAGGGCTTCACCCGAGTGGCGTGGCCATGGCCCCGCGCGGCGCCCTGGCATTCGCGCGGGCATGCATAGCAAGTAGCACGGGGCAATTTGTAGGGGGCGCAAAGGCTTGCGCGGCGAGCGCGTGACGACCAGGCCCGCCGCGAGAGGGGGCCCGCGGGCGCCATGCTTGCGTGCTTGTCACACGCGTCGCGGTGGACGCCCGAAAATGATTCGCATCCGGTAGGCGCGGAAGCTCTGCAGTGTCTGACATCCGTGCTCGCAGCCGAAGGAGCGGCGTGTCCCCCCGACCTGTCCGGATTCACGGCGAAGGAGGCGAGGGGAGTTTTCCCGTGCCTCCGGGAGTGGTCAGAGTGCTTCACCGTGACGCTTATTACTCACGCGCGTAAGCTGACCCACGAAAAGGCAAAGCGGCCCCGGGAGGACGATGCAGCGGTATCGCTCTCCCAGGTCGAGCGCGCGCGCGCGCCACTCCGCCCCATCCGGCGGAGCAAGCAAGGCCGGCCGCCGCCCGCTGCCCCGTGGGCGCGAAGGCGGCGGAAACGTTACTCGAGAAAGCGGCCAAGTGCCCGGCACCGGCACCGGGCTTGCGCGCGAAACGCCGGCCCGGCGGGGGTTTGACGCCTCAAGAAGCCCTCGCGTTGCTCTCAGCGGCAAGGCAGGCACGGCAGGCACCACCGCGCGGCGCCACCGTCCTCGTGCACCGCGCGCGGCGCGGAGGTACCAGCGCCGCCGATGCTGGCAGAGGCAATCCGCCAGCTGACGAAACTCCAGGCTCCGCCCGCGATATTCATAAGCGAAGGCGGCATTCCGCGGGAGGTGCGCGCGAGGCAGGACATCGGCGTGCGGCGGGTGCCAGGAACACCTCGTCGGCGCGCCGAGGAATTGCGGGTGTCAGGAGCAGGACTGGAGTGCATGCGCCGCATCCAGATGGCCGCGCTGTGGCGAGAATTCCACGCGTGGAAGCTCTCGGCATACCCGTATGCCTCGGCGGTGGAGTTGTACGGCCAGGCGTGCGATGCGGCAGGCGTCCCGCCCTGGCCGCCGTGCGCCATCGCGCGGGACATGATGGTGGCGCTCTGTCGCCGCCCGGGGACCCTGTCGAACTATTTGCAGGGCATTCGCTCAGTCCTGCATCTGCTCCGCGCAGACACAGGGTCTTTGGCGGACACGCGGACCCTGGTATTCGGTGCCCGAAAGGTACGGCCTCCGCGCGCGTCGGCCGCGAGCCCATGATATCGGCGGCAGGCGGAACCGCCTGGTGCGCAAAGATTTCGTGCGCGCGCCACGGCCGAAAACGTGCGCGCGATGTTGGATTGGCTGCGCGAGGCGCGGCCGCGCGCTCTTCCTAACTAAGCGGCTTGCCGTGCGTGCCGGCCCGCGGGCCTGGCGTTTGGCAGATCGGGCGCGGCGATATGGCTGGCGCTTTCGTCATATGCTGGCAGTTCTGCTTGCGCTTCGGCTCCGAAGTAGTGGGGCTGAATGCGCCTGGGCATAGTGCCGTCTCGCTCCACGTAGACGAAGGAAAGCACCAGGTGCAGGTGCAATTCCGCCAGCGGAAGGGGAGAGTGGCTCCCGACCCGGCGGGCCGAGCGCGCGCGCGCGGCGGGGCGCGCCCCGGGCTCCCCGCATCGCGAGGTCTGGAGGGTATGCGTATGCCAGCTCCAGGGCAAACGATTGTGTGCGGTCTGCATCATTCGGCATTCGCTCCGGCCCGGCGAGCAGCTCCTGCCGGGCGTCTCTTACGTGGACGGGCTGGCTTGCGTCAAGCTCGCCGCTGCCCACCTCGGGCTCCATAGGGCATTGGAGTGGGGGGCGCATTGCTTCAGGCGCGGCCGGGCCGACCAGGCATGGGCCCCCCTTGCCGTCCCCTGCCTACCCAGGGCCCGCGCGCAGTTCGTGTCTCTCGCACGCAGGCACTCCGCACCGGGGGGCCAGCAGCGCTGTTCTTCGAAGGGGGTTGGAGATCTGTGGCCGCGTTCGGGCACTCCATTCCGACAGGGGGCGCGGCCGCGCTGCCTGGGTCGCGAGGGCGCGGCGCTTGGCGGCGCACAGGTACCCGGCCGCAAAGACGCGAGCCATGGTGCTGGCGGCAGAAGCCGAGATCGCGCACTCCGATTCCGACGAGGCGCCGCCCTGCAGGCATCGGGGTCGGGGCTCCGCGGCGGCGCGTGGCGCGCAGGACGCGCCGATCGCCGCGGAAGCGGTGCAGGGGCCGCCCAGGCCGTGAGTCAAGCAGACCAGGCATCTGCGGTCTGCTTAGAGCGCGCTTGGGCGTCGTTCCGCCGAGCATGCATCGGGAGGCGTCGGCGAGGTTGCTCGGCTCCGCGACGCCGACTCGCGCTCACCCCACCGCCTGGCCTGGGCCTGCGCCAGTCGACGGTTGTGCCCTGCGTTAGCGCGGGCCCAGCCTCGACGCGACTTCTCATGGGCGCTCTGGGCAGCATTTGAGCGCGGGGAGAAGTCGCGCGAGCGTCGTGGCCCCTATTGGCTATCTTCTTGCTTGTCTCTAATGCTGCGGGACGGCTATTCACGGCTGAGGCGGATCCCCACCCTGCGCGCCCGCGAGCGCGTTCTCGTCGCAGGTGAATGGGATTTGTCTCACGCGTGGCCGTCCCGCTGGCGGGATGCGTTTTTCCCCACCCGCCCGACCCTGCTGCGCGAGCGCGCTGGCGTCGCAGTGGCTGCTAGTTGTGTCGAGGCTGGGCTGACCCAGCGCCAGGCTTGGGGGAGGCGTCGGCGAGGTTGCTCGGCTCCGCGACGCCGACTCGCGCTCACCCCACCGCCTGGCCTGGGCCTGCGCCAGTCGACGGTTGTGCCCTGCGTTAGCGCGGGCCCAGCCTCGACGCGACTTCTCCGTGCCAATCTTAAGGGTAGGGATACGTTCGAGGCTGGTAACTCCCGCCCTCCTCCCTCCTCCGTCGAGCGGAGTGGTAGTCGCGGCGCCTCTCGCTGCTTGCCCCGCCGCAGAGCGCGGCCCGGCTGCCTCCCCATACTCAGGAGGGGAAAACACACACGCAGACACAATGAATCCTCGACTCCCCAGAAAATGTAGGAAAATATGGGAAGTGGGGGGGAAGACAAAAACCCAGAAGATATGGGAAACTATTGGGAATCTTATTATTTGTGTATATTTATTCGTGTGTCCTGGGGCCCCTTCACATACGGCCGGGGCACGGCCAGGGTGAGCGGTTCGCCATTCCCCCCTCTCATTGGCTTTCCTCGTCGTTTGAACCGGCTTCTACGGAGGCGGGCCTCCGTTTTGGTCCCCGCGTGGCATTCTGCAGCTGCCCTTCGCCGAAGGGCAGCGATCCAGAGGTCCTGGAGCTCGAGTCCGTTCTTTTCGGAGGCCTTGAGCTTGACACCGACACCAATATCGGCGGTGTGCCTCCACTGAGGGAAGATGCTCCCAATCTCGGTGGTGGTGGTAATATTCGGGCTTCTAGGCGGACGCCGCCAACGCCGAAATCTAGAATCACCCTCTCCCAGTGGAGGCAACCCCGTGTGGTGGTGCTGGTGATTATTTTGAGTCCTCCAACCTTTCGAGGCGGTGATGCCCACCAGGCGACGTGGCACGCCCGGTGCAGCCGCTCCCACGCGGCAATTATTTTGGAGGGCGCGCCCCTGGGTCGGGCTGCCGGTCTTCTTCCGGCCCTCCTCGGGCCCACCGGCGCATGCACATATGCAGCGCGATCGCCTGACGCCAGAAAGCGCCTCCCTTTCCACGGAGCCACAGCTTTTCAGACAAGCGCGCTGTTTTTCCTGGAAAGGCGAAGTCCATTTGGAAGCATGTGGGAAGCCCATGTGTTCTCAACAGAGTTGCGTTGCCTTCGCACAGAGAGCAGCAGTTCAGGAGGAAAAGAAACACACAGACACAATTAATCGCCAACTCCCCAGAAAATATGGGAAAATATGGGAAGTGGGGGGGAAGACAGAAACCCAGAAAAAATGGGAAAACATGGGGCATCTTTTTATTTGTGTGTATTTATTTGTGTGTCCCAGGGCCCCTTCAAAAAAACAACAGTGCTTTTGTCCACGTGCGCAGCAGCCGTGAGAGGCCGCCTCTGCCGAGGGCTGCCCGCAGGAGCTGCGCGGTACCCGTGCCCGTGCTGCCTGGCGACGTGCCCGTCGCCGGCAGGCCTTGCTGGCGGCGCGCAGGACGAAATTTACCAGTTTGAAACATAAGTACCAGTTTGAAGCATATCCCTATCCCTATGTTTGACATCACCTCGCCTCGATGCCGATCTTGAGGATTCCCTCGGTTTCTGAGGGCCTGTCCCTAAGACTGTTCTCGCTTTTTGCTCGCCCATCTTGGGGATACGGATAAGTTCCAGGCTGGTTAAAAATGCCCACCCTGGTCGGCATTCTCTGCGCTCCCGATCGGTGGTCGTCGGGCAGAGCCGCTCGTCGTGGCTCGAGGAGGAGGAGGAGGACGAGGAGGAGGATGAGGAGGAGCAGGAGGAGGAGGAGGAGGATGATGGATGATGGATGATGATGATGATGATGATGATGATGATGATGATGATGATGATGATGATGATGATGATGATGATGATGATGATGATGATGATGAGGAGGAGAGGAGGAGGAGGAGGAGGAGGAGGAGGAGGAGGAGGAGGAGGGAGAGGAGGAGGAGGAGGAGGAGGAAGGGAGGAGGATGATGATGACGAGGAAGAGGAGGAGGAGGAGAGGAGGAGGAGGAGGAGGAGGAGGAGGAGGAGGCCCCTCCCCATCCTTCCCTCCCCCCTCCCTCCCTCCCTCCCTGGGGCGGCCCCCGCCCGCCATGGGCCACAGGCGGCAGGGCGGCAGCAGCGGCCGCGCGCGCAGGCGGCGGCTCGGCGGAGGCCGCGGGCGCCGCTGGACCGCTGGCCGCGAGGGAGCTGCAGGCCCTGGGATAAATCAATAAATAAATAAATAATTTAAAACGACGCGAAGATCGGGACAAAATCGGATCGGGATAACTCGAAATCTCTGAGAATCGGCGGGTTTGGAGGATGTATTTGGCGCCGCGGCCGCTCCAGAGCGTTCCGGAACGCTCTGAGAGCGCTCGGGAACGCTCTGGAGCGATTTATCCCGATCCTAGCCCTGTTTTAATAAAGGAGTGTGGTGTTGATTTTCTATACAGGGGACTCTTGGCGATGTGATTTATCGCAGGTGGCATCGCCATCTCCCACGATTGGCACCGTACACCCCTTTATGCCACACCCCTTTGGCGACCTCCAGAGGGACGACGCCTTAGGGGGTGACAGAGTCGAAGAAGAAACAAACGCCATAAACGTAAACTTTTGGCGCTCCGCGCGGATTTCTCGGACCCGCGCTGGGCCCTCCCGGCGGCGCCTCTGGCGCCGCCCTTGGCGCGCTCCGCGCGCCAGGGAGGGGGGTCCAGCGCAGATCAACAAAAATCCGCGCGGAGCGCTAAAAGCTTGAGTTCATGCCGTTTTTCTTCTTCTAGACAAGTCGCCAGGGGGGAAACGGGTCTGGAGGGAAGTGGGTACTGAGGTTTTCGCCGTTTTCGGGCTCCTGGCCCTCCACGGGCCCCGGGATTGGCAGAAAACGGCTCAGGATGGAGATCTCGTCCTGGGGGAAGACCCCAGGGTTCAGGACCCGTTTGCCTCAGGACCCGTTTCCCCCATGCTAGACAGGCGCACTTTGGATATACTGTAGAATCATGCGGCGTTGGCGCGGCGGCGGCGCCTGTGAACGCGTTCACGGTTGAGTTCTGCGACGTGGAAACACCGATGGACACGGTAACGCCATTGGACTGGACTGAATTCAACCTTGAGCGATCAGGTCCGTCATCGATTCCAGGTTGAACGATCGACGTTGCGTCAAAAACCGTTGCGCGCGCCGACGCCGCACGCACCTACCGTAGCCTGCACCTCGGGTAATGGGAGTCGGTTAGTGATTGGGCACCGAAGCCCAGAAACATTGCCAGGATCATAAACACCATGTCTGCCGCAGCTGCTGCCTCTTCGGGTGAGGGCAGTTCCGGTCCGTGAACCAGGGCGGGCGGGCGTCCACCGGTACAAATCAGTACACCAGATCCTGCTAAGCCCAATCCCGCCAGCGCCTGATCAGCAGGGGAGGAGGAGGAGGAGGAGGAGGAGGAGGAGGAGGAGGAGGAGGAGGAGGAGGAGGAGGAGGAGGAGGAGCGCAGAGGTTTGCGGACGTCGTCGTCGGTGCTCGGCGGCCTTCCAGCCTCGGGATGCCGTCCAGCGGCTGCGCCTCGCCGAGAGCGTTCCGGGGGTGCCCAGATCTCCCCGAGCTGCCGCCAGAGAGCCGAGCTGTGACCCGAAGCCCAAGGGGCAATGACAGGGGCCTTGGCATCGCTCGGACGTGTGCATTTTTCCTTCGGCGAGGGCCATCGAGGAGCATCCTTGATCACTTGGCGAACAAAAACACGCACGAAACCTAAAAAGGCACAGGGAATGGACGTCCGAGCGATGGCCAGGGGCGGGAGAGGCTCATGGACGGACGCATCGAACCCCCCAGTCGCCCATTGATCGCCGATCGGGGATAGCCCACCCTGCCTAGGAGCGCGGAGGACCGTGCGGGTTCGCTGTCGTGGGATCATCGCCGATTGATCGGCGAGGTATTGCCGATTCCGTCTCGGTTCTTCACGGCAAAGAGATCTCTCTCTATATATATATGAATCATATATATATATATATATATATATGTATATATATATATATATATATATATATATTATATATATATATATATATATATATATATATATCCGCTGCCCCACGCCTGCCCAGTCCTGGGGCCAGGCACACTGCGTATGCATGCCTGGCCGAGGCAGGAGGGCGTATGCACCGCCCCTGGGCCCAGGACGGGCCAGGCCCGGGCAGCGGATGTGCACAGATGCCGTCGCCCTGGTCCTTTGGGGAAACGGAAGGAGTGACTTCAGCATCAAAACTCGGAGGTCCGTGCGGACTTCTCGGGTCGGCGCTGGACCCCCCTCCCTGGCGCGCGGAGCGCGCCAGGGGCGGCGCCGGAGGCGCCGCGGGGGAGGGGGGTCCAGCGCGGATATGAGAAATCCGCGCGGACCTCTGATTTTTTATTTTATTTACTTCACTCTTCGTTCCCCTATTTTCCTGCCTCCGCCGACAGCCCCACATCGAACCCCGCCGCGGGCGGCCACCGCGCGCCGAAGGCGCTCCGACCCCCGTCGCGGCGCGACGACGAGGCGAGGTTGACCCCCCCGTCGGGGGGCCCCCCCCACGCTTATTCAGGAACCCAAGAGTATTCCCCTCCGCCCGCCCCCCTCGGGGAAACCCAAAGGTACAGATACCGCTACTCCCTGGGCCCCTCCTGGGGTGCGTTCTGACAAGGATTTCGAGGCGAGTCCAGCGGTGGCGACGACGGGGGCCCAGGAGGCCCAGAAAGGGTAGAACGAGGGGAGGGTATAGAGGTATGGGTACCTTTTCCTCCTCTGACCCCTGGGGTGGGTTCCCGCCCCTGGCGTTTCCCCCCCCCCTCCCCCCTCCGCAGGCGCAGCTTGCGCGCAGCGGCTGCCTGGAGGACGTGCTGGCGGCGGTGCGCGGCGCCCCAGCCGCCTGGCCCGAGGCCTCCTTGGAGGAGGGGGGGCGGCGGAGGGGCGCCTCCGGAGCAAAGCGGGGGCCCCCGAGGGATGGGGCCCCGAGGAGGAGGAGGAGGAGAAGGAGGAGGAGGAGGAGGAAGAGGAGGAGGAGGAGGAGGAGGAGGAGGAGGAGGAGGGCGAGGAGGAGGAGGCGGAGGAGGAGGGGACCCCCTCGCTCAGGGCCCATTCTCCGAGTCGCCGAGGGCGGGCGCAGGCACGAGCTCTCCGAGGTCCGCGCGGATCTCCCGGGCGTGGCGCCGGGCCCCGCCTCCACGCGTCCCTGGCCGGCGCCTTGCGGCGCCGCCCCTGGCGGAGAGGGGGGGGCCCGGCGCCGACCCAGGCGATCCCTGCGGAAGTCCGACAGTTTCCGTGCCGTTTGGGTGTGGTTGTGGTTGTGGTTGTGGTTGTGGTTGTGGTTGTTGTGGTTGTGGTTGTGGTTGTTGTTGTTGTTGTTGTTGTTGTTGTTGTTGTTGTTGTTGTTGTGGTTGTGGTTGTGGTTGTCGTTGTCGTTGTCGTTGTCGTTGTCGTTGTCGTTGTCGTTGTCATTGTCGTTGTCGTTGTCGTTGAACATTATTAATTCTAAAGAATAATTATTGTTGGGACCCCTGGTGCACGGCCCCCCTGCGCCGCCTAGGCCGCAGCATCATTTTCGTCATTTCTCCCTCGATGATGATCAAGATCCGGTTGTTTTGTTGTAATCCGTTTTCCCTTGCAAAAAACACTATAAAATGACATTTCTTGTTCTAATATAATCAAATTTCAAGAATCCCTTGCAAAAAATAAGGTAAAGTGGACATTCGCGCGCGCAAGACGAAATCCTTCCAAAACCTTAGTGTTCGAGCGATTTTAACATAAAAACATCAAAAAACCAATGGTTTTTCAACAAAAAAATGTCAAAATCTCATCCCGCGCGCTCTTGCGGATTCGTAGGAAACCCAACACTTTTTAAACATTTCTGTCAAACGGGCTTTTGCGAGCAACTTTTTCGAACTTCTGCAACAACGGTTGCGCACCTGCCAGGGCCATCATCCCTGTCAAATAATACCATGCGGGACACATTCGTTTTTTCTTCGCGCGCGCACGCCGTCGTCGTCGGCCGCGGGGCCCTGAATAGTAGCCACGGTCGTCCGCATGCCACGAAGTGAAGTGTCCGAACGTCATAGGGCGGGAAGCTGGGTGTGGGTGGTGGCGAAGAGTCGTTTGGAAATTTGGTAGAGCTTGAACCGGCCCCCCCACAAAGTGGGGGTATTGCCCGCCTCCTATGAAAACCCTGGCACTGGTGAGAACACTGAGCGTTCGGGTAAAGTGATTGTTGTTGTTGTTGTTGTTGTTGGTGGTGGTGGTGGTGGTGTTGTTGTTGTTGTTGTTGTTTTTGTGTTTGTTTGTTTGTTTGTTTGTTTGTTTGTTTGTTTGTTTGTTTGTGATTGTTGAACTCTCACTACTGAAGTGTAATTATTGTTGATCCCCCCTCCGGGGCACACTTTGTTTTTTCAATGGAAGTGCCTCCCTCGGGTCTCATCAGGAAAGGTCTTAAGTCTCATAATTATGTTGTTGGCCCCCGATTTGCAACAACAAAAACGATTCCCGCCTGATATTTCCTCACAACTGATTCCCAATTCGCGGTCTCGCGCCAACACCCTGGCAAGTTATGCAGAGATCGCGCTCTCGCGTGGGATTTCCTCGCAATTCACTCAGACGCTGCACCCTCGACACTCAGGAATCAGGTTCTCGCTTTGGCTTATCTCACGATTTACTTGGGAGTCACGCTATCGCTCGAGACTTCATTGCGATTCATGCAGGACGCACGCTTCAGCAACCTTCCTGCTCGACCTGGCCGCCTGGGCTCGCCTTTCCGACTCGCCTGTTAGGGTCTACCCGCCCGAGGGTTTTGGATATCCGTGTTGAATGGCACCCGAGCAGATAAGAGCGACCAGTCTTAAACTGATTGTTGTTGTTTTTGTTGTTGGTGCTGTTGATAATCGTGTTATTGTTGTTGTTGTTGATATTGTTGTTGCTGTTGTTGTTGTTGTTGTTGTTGTTGTTGTTGTTGTTGTTGTTGTTGTTGTTGTTGTTTCTGTTTTTGTTGTAATTGTCCTTCGTGTTGCTGCTGCTGTTGATGTTGCTTCTGCTGCTGCTTATGTTGTTGTTGGTGGTGGTGGTGGTGGTGGTGTTGTTGTTGACATCTCATTTCTGAAGAATAAGTATTGTTGATCCCACCTCACCGGTGCATACGGTTTTTTCTCAATCAAAGTGTGCCCTTCGACGCTCGCAGCCTGTTTTTTGATAGGGACAGTCTTGGTGCTCAAACTGGGCCCCTGGCCCCCCGGATGACAACAACAACGGCTCCCGCCTGAGACTTCCTCCAAATTTACTCAGGACCGCCGCTCTTGAGACTCCTCACAATTTACTCAGGATCGATGCTCCCGCCTGTGACTTCTTCGCAATTTAGTCAGGACCCCCGCTCCCATCTGAGACTTCCTCACTTTACTCAGGAACGGCGCTCCCGCTTGAGACTTCCTCGCAATTGAATACAGACATCCTCGCAATTTAATCAAGACCCCCGCTCCCGCCAGAAAACCCTTCACATTTTATTCAGGAATTGCGCTCTCGCTTGTGACTTCCATGCAATGTATTCAGAAATCGCGCTTTCGACGCTCAGGAAACACGTTGCGCCAAGGACGCCGTTACACATTACTTAGTAATCGCGCTCTCGTCATACTCAGGCATCCGCTTGAATGTCCCACCCACCCGACCCGCCCGTCAGGGGATCGCCCGCCCGTCGTGGGCTCCCGCCCGAGACTTCCTTCAGAAACGGCGCTTTTGCTTAGGACTTCCTCGAACGTTCACGCTCTTACCTTCCTGCTCCTCCTCCCTCTCCCTCCTCCCTCCTCCCTCCTCTCCGCCCTTCTCTCTCCCTCCTCTCTTCCCTCATCCTTATGCCTCTCTGCCCTATCCCCTCTCCCTCCTCTCCCCCCTCCCTTCTCCCTCCCCTCTCCTGTTCTCTCTCTCTCTCTCTCTCTCCCCCTCTCTCTCTCTTTCTCTACCTCTCTTACCTGTCTTTCCCTCTAATCAACCGCCCCCCTCTTCGCTCCTTCTCTCCTGGCGTTGTCCGTCTTCCTTCGTCCTTCCCCCTCCCTTCCTCCCACTCTCCCTCGTTCTCCCCCTCCTCTTTTTGCAGGGCCCACACCAATTTCAATGGCGGGCACATGTATACCCACGAAGGATTGTCCGCCCGTTCAGGTTTGCCCGCCTGTCTAACCCGCCGCCCCCCGCAAAGAGAAATAATCCCCCCAAAAGGGGTGTGATCGAAGACACAAAGGGCGGGTATCGAGGGTGTGGGGAACTCGTTTTGAATGACACGCGGGCAAACAAGAGCGAACAGTCTTTGAATTGTTGTTGTTGTGGTTGTGGTGGTGGTGGTGGTTGTTGCTGTTGCGGCTGTTGTTGTTGAGCTGTTTCAGTATCGAACTATAAGTACTGTTGATTCTCCCTCCGAGACACGTTTTTTGTTGTTGTTCTTTTTTTATGGACGTGCCCCCCTCAGGGCTCGCACCTTGTTGCTTATCAGGGAAATTCTTGGGTTTCAGAATTGGGCCCCTGGCCCCCGCTTTACAGCACAACGGCTCCTGCTTTATATTTCCTCACAATGTATTCCCACATCGCGCTCTCGCGCGGGACTTCCTCGACATATTTTCAGACATCGCGCTCTCGCGTCGGACTTCCTCGCAATTCACTCAGACTCCGCGCCTTCGACTGTCAGGAACCACGCTTTCGGTTTGGCTTATCTAACCATTTACTTGGGGATCGCAATATCGCTCGATACTCCCTCGCGATTTATGCAAGGCGCACGCTTCAGCAACCCGCCTGCTCGACCTGGCCGCCTGGGCCCGCCTTCGTCTGGTTCTGCCACGTGCTTTCTGCTCCTAGCCCTCTTCCTGCTACTCTTTCTCGTGCTCCATCCTCCTCCCTCCCCCTCGCCCATTTCTTCCATCCGTCCTCCTTTACCCTGCCGTAGGGGCTGCATGAACTACACGCTGCAAATAAGAGAGAGAGATATGGTCCACACGGGGTACGAATCAAGAGGAAGAGGGCGGTACCCAGGGTTCGTGATGTACGTGTTGAGTGGCATTCGAGCAGATCAGAGTGCGACGTCTTGAACTGATTGTTGTTGTACGTGTTGTTGTTGTTGTTGTCGTTGCTATCTTTGTTGTTGGTGTTGTGGTTGTTGTGGTTGTTGTGGTTGTTGTGAGTGTTGTTGTTGTTGTGATCGTTGTTGGTGTTGTGGTTGTTGTTGTGGTTGCTGGGGTTATGTTTGGTGTGTTTTTGGTGTTGTTGATGTTGTTGATGCGCCTGGTGTTGTTTTTGTTGTTGCTGTTGCTGTTGTTGTGGTTGTGGTGGTTGTGATTGTTGTGGTTGGTGGTGGCTGTCCTGGTTGCCGTTGTGGTTGGTGTGGTTGGTGTGGTTGCTTTAATCGTTGTGGTTGTTGTGGTTTTTGTTGTTGTTGTGGTGGTTGTTGTTGATGCTGCTGTTGTGGCTGTGGTGGTTGTGATTGTCGTTTTAGTTGCGGATGTTGCTGCTGCCGCCGTTGTTGTCGTTGTTGTTTTTGTTGCTGTTGTTGTCGTCGTCGTCTGCGTCGTCGTCGTCGTGGTTGTTGTTGCTGTTGTTGCTGTTGTTGTTGCTGCTGCTATCGCTGCTGCGGCTTACGTTGTTGTTGCGGCTGTTGTTCTTGTTGCTGCTGGTGCTGTTGTTGTTGATTGTTGTTTTCGTCATTGCTGCTGTTGTTGGTGTGATTTTGATTGTTGTTGTTGTAGTCGTTGTTGTTTTAGTTGTTGTCGCTGTTGTTGGTCGTTGTTGTTGTCGTTGTCGTTGCTGTTGTTGTTGTTGTTGTTGTTGGTTGTTGCTGTGGCTGTTGTTGTTGTTGTTGCTGTTGTTGCTGTTGTTGTTGTTGTCGTCGTCTTCGTTGTCGTCGTCGTCGTCGTTGTGGCTGTTGTTGTTGCTGTTGCTGCTGTTGTTGTTCTCTTGGTTGTTGTTGTTGTTGGTTGTGGTTGTAGTTGTGGTTGTGATTGTTGTTGCTGCTGCTTCTGCTGCTACTGCTGTTGTTGTTGTTGCTGCTGTTGTTGTTGTCGTTGTTGTTGTTGCTGTTGTTGTTGTTGTTATTATTGTTGTTGTTGTTGCTGTTGTTGTTGTTGTTGTTGTTGTTGTTGTTGTTGTTGTTATTCGTGTTGTCGTCGTCGTCGTTGTTGTTGTTGTAGTTGTTGTTGTTGTGCAACTCTCATGTCTGAAGAATGATTAGTTGCCCCCCCCTCAACGGTGCATACGGTTCTTTCTCAATCAAGCTGTGCTCCTCGACGCTCGTACCCGGTTTTTTGACAGGGAAAGTCTTCGTGCTCAAGCTGGGCCCCTGCCCCCCCGGATTTCAACAACAACGGTTCCTGCCTGAGACTTCCTCCAAATTTACTCAGGACCGCCGCCCCTGAGACTTTCTCACAATTTGATCAGGATCGGTGCTCCCACTTGTGACTCCCTCGCAATTTAGTGAGGACCCCCGCTCCCATATAAGATTTCCTCACACTTTACTCAGGAACGGCGCTCCCGCTTGAGACTTCCTCGCAATTGAATCCAGCCTTCCTCGCAATTTAATCAAGGTCCCCGCTCCCGCCAGAGAACCCTTCACATTTTATTCAGGAATTGCGCTCTCGCCTGTGACTTCCATGCAATTTGTTCAGAAATCGCGCTTTCGACGCTCAGGAAACACGCTGCGCCAAGGACGCCGTTACAATTTACTTAGTAATCGCGCTCTCGTCATACTCAGGCATCCCGCTTGAATGTCCCACCCGCCCGAGACTTCCTTCAGGAACGGCGTTTTTGCTTAGGACTTCTTCGAATTGTTCACGCTCTTACCTTCCTGCTCCTCCTCCCTCTCCCTCCTCCCTCCTCCCTCCTCTCCTCCCTTCTCTCTCCCTCCTCTCTTCCCTCGTCCTCATGCCTCTCTGGCCTATCCCCTCTCCCTCCTCTCCCTCCTCCCTTCTCCCTCCCCTCTCCTGCCTCCTTCCTCTTTCTTTCTTTCTTTCTTTCTCTCTCTCTCTCTCTCTCTCTCCCCTCTCTGTCTGTCGCTCTTTCTCTTTCTTTCTTATCTGTCTTTCTCTCTCTCTCTCTCTTTCTCTGTGCCTCTAATCAACCGCCCCCTCTTCGCTCCTTCTCTCCTGGCGTTTTCCCTCTTCCTTCGTCCCTACCCCTCCCTTCCTCCCACTCTCCCTCGTTCTCCCCCTCGTCTCTTTGCAGGGCCCACACCAATTCCAATGGCGGGCGCATGTGCACCCACGAAATATTGTCCGCCCGTTCCGGTTTGCCCGCCTGTCTGAGCCCGCTGACCCCCGCAAAGAGAAAGAATTTCCCCAGTGGGGGAGTGATCGAAGACAAAAAGGGCGGATATCGAGGGTGTGGCAAACTCGTTTTGAATGACACTCGGGCAAGTAAGAGCGACCAGACTTATAATGTTTGCTGTTGTTGTTGTCGTTGTCGTTGCTGTGGTTGTTGTTGTTGCTGTTGGTGTTGTTGTTGTTGTTGCTGTTGTTGTTGTCGTTGTAGTAGTCGTAGTAGTAGTAGTAGTGGTCGTAGTAGTAGTAGTAGTAATAGTAGTAGTAGTAGTAGTAGTAGTAGTAGTAGTAGTAGTAGTAGTAGTAGTAGTAGTAATAGTAATAGTAGTAGTAGTAGCAGTAGTAGTAGTAGTAGTAGTAGTAGTAGTAAGTAGTAGTAGCAAGTAGTAGTAGTAGTAGTAGTAGTAGTAGTAGTTGCTGTTGTTATTTGGTGTTGTTGTTGTTGATGATGTTGTTGTTGTTGTCGTTGTCGTTGTTGTTGTTGTTGTTGTTGTCGTTGTCGTTGTCGTTGTCGTTGTCGTTGTCGTTGTTGTTGTTGTTGTTGTTGTTGTTGGTGGTGTTGTTGTTGTCGGTGTTGTTGGTGTTGTTATTGGTTTGGTTGTTGTTGTTTTTGCCGTTGTTGTTGTTGTTATTGTTGTTGTTGTTGTTGTTGTTGTTGTTGTTGTTGTTGTTGTTGTTGTTGTTGTTGTTGTTGTTGTGGTTGTGGTTGTGGTTGTGGTTGTGGTTGTTGCTCTGGAGGTGTCGCTGGCCACCGCGTGGCACCGCCTGGCCAAGCACTCGGCCGGGCGCCCGCAGCGCTGCGGGGGGGCCTGGGAGGAGGCGGTGCGGGCGCTGCTGCTGGCGCTGGAGGCGCAGCCGCTGGCAGCCTTCCAGCTTCGGCACCTGACGATGGGCCTGTTTTCTACCACCGCTACCACAGGTAGGACAGGGAGGAGGAGGAGGAGGCGGCGGAGGGAGGGAGGAGGAGAGGAGAGAGGAGGAGGAGGAGGAGGAGGAGGAGGAGAGAGGGAGGGGGGAGAAAGGAGGATGGAGGTCCTCCTCCTCCTCCTCCTCCTCCTCCTCCTCCTCCTCCTCCTCCTCCTCCCCCGCTTCCTACCTGTGGTAGTGGTGGTGGAGACTCGGCCCATCACCTGACCATCATCCTCTGGGCGTGGGCCAAGCTCGAAGAAGAGAGAGCGGCACAAGCACAAACTTTCGGAGCTCTGCGCGGATTTCTTGGATCTGCACTGGGCTCCCCTGGCGGCGCCTCCTGCGCTGCCCCCGGCGTGCTCCACGTGCCTGGCGCCTCCGCCTCCTCGCACCTGAGATAGTAGTCGAATGAGGCAGGCCTGTCTTGGAAGCGCCCAGGACTGTTCCGCAAACGCCAGCGCAATGGGTCGGAGTAGCCTTTCCCCCCTTGACCGTGGGCGCTGATTCCTGCCTCGGTGCCCCCGAGTCCAATGGGGGGCCGAGCGCCGATTCAAGAAATCTGCGCGGACCTTCGACAGTCTGTGCTCGTATGGCTGTCTCTTCTTCACAGAGCTGCGCCTCCGGCGCCCCGTGCCGCTGGCCCGCCTCTGCGCCAACCTCCGGGAGCGCGCCTGCGTCGAGGCGTTCTCGGCGCGCGACCTCTCCAACGCGCTGTACGCCCTGGCGCTGCTGCGCTTCCGGGACGGGCCGCTGCTGCGGGCCATCTTCGCCCGCGTGCCCGGGCAGCTCGATGAGTTCAACACGCAGTGCTTGGCGAACACGGTCTCCCGGGGGCAGCGAGAGGGGCGGATTAAACGACGCGAAGATCGGGACAAAATCGGATCGGGAGAACTCGAAATCTCTGAGAATCGGCGGGTTTGGAGGATGTATTGGGCGCCGCGGCTGCCCCAGAGCGTTCCGGAACGCTCTGAGAGCGCTCCGGAACGCTCTGGAGCGATTTATCCCGATCCTGGCCTTGTTTTAGGCGGAGGCGTCTTCGGGCGTGCTCGTCGCTTGCCCCGGCGGGCTTCTGGCCTCGGGGTGCCCTCGGTGGCTGCGCCTCGCCGAGGGCGTTGCAGGGGGTGCCCGCAGCGCCCCGAACGGCCGCCGGAGGGCCGAGGCTGCGACGCGAAGCCCAGGGGGCAGGGACAGAGCCAGCCCGCATGTCAGGAGGGGAAAAAACACACAGACACGGTTAATTGTCGATTCCCCAGAAAATATGGCAAAATATGGGAAGTGGTGGGGAAGACAGACACCCAGAAAATGTAGGAAAATATGGGGAATATTTTTATTCGTGTGTATTTATTTGTGTGTCCTGGTGCCCCTTCAGCATGGGGAGGATGGGCAGCCTTCCCAAAGGGGTGCCCCTCGCATCTCGGGACGACCGAGATGGGTACGGAAAGAGGGGGTGCAATGCCCAACAACAGTTCCTGTTCATTTTGAACAGGACTCGCTGTCGGTGTCGCCGCGGCCTGTGCACATTTGAGACAGAGAAGGCCGCCTGCCCAGCAGCGGCCGCTGCTGGTTTGGGACAACACTTGTTGTTGGGTATCGTACCCATTTTTTCGGTATCCATGTCGGGCGTCCAAAGCATCCTGGCCTCCTCGGTCCATCCTTGGCCACGTTCGTTGGCCGCGCCCCGCTGGAGAAGCTTCGGAAGGGCGTCCACGGCCCTTGCCTCCCGCCGGCCCGCCCGCCTCGCGGCCCGCCTCGGACACCCGGGCGGGGACTGGCCCGGGGGGATGGGGGGGAAGAAGCGAGCCGGAAGCACCCTGCTGGCCTCCAGGGTGCCCCGGGTTGCTTGGGTTTCGGTGGTTCTGCTATGGAGAGCGTGGCGTTCCCACATCAAAAATCCATGGACGTCCTGGGGTCTCAGGGTTGGGGTTTGTCGTGGCAGGTCTCTTGTCGTCGGGCCTCCTGCTGCAGGGGCGGGATGGGCCCATGGATGGAAGCATCCTGGTCGCCTCGGCCCCTCCTTGGCCGCTTTCGCTGGCCGCGCCCCGCTCGAGCAGCCTCGGGATGGGCGCCCGAGGCCCTTTGCATCCGCATCGCGCACGCTTTCTGCTGCGGGCCGACGGCATCGCCCCGAACGGCCGCCGGAGAGCCGAGTTACGATCCGAAGCCCAAGGGGCAACGACAGGTGGGGGGTGGACAGACCTCCTACCCTGACACGTCGATTAGGGAATCGGCCGTTTTCGGTTCGCGAGGGGGCGTCGCGGCCGTCATTTTTGCGGGTCCAGGTCCGTCGGTTTCGGTCCCAGGCCGTTTTCACTAGGGGGAGGCCTACTAGAGGGAGGTCTGTCCACCGCCGAACAGGGGCGGGATCTGCTCAGGGGAGGGCGCCTCGACCCCCAATAGCCCATGGGTTGCCGAGCGGCCCGCGGAGGACCGTATACACGGGTGAGCTGCTGGGGGCCCGTCCCCGAGCCATCGACGATGCCTTGCCAGTTCTGGCAGCCATGGGGAGCGGCTCCTCCTCCTCCTCCTCCCCCTCCTCCTCCGCCTCCTCCGCCTCCTCCGCCTCCTCCGCCTCCTCCGCCTCCTCCTCCTCCTCCTCCTCCTCCTCCTCCTCCTCCTCTTGCCTCCCTCCCTCCTCCCTCCCTCCTCCCTGGGCCGGAGCGGTCCGACACCCAAGGGGCAACGATAGGGGCGGGAGAGGCTCGTGGCCAGAAGCCTCGACCGCCCGTCGCCCGCTCCGCGCCGCTCTCGGGGCCCGGGCGCGCCCCGCCCGCCCCGCCCACCCTGACCTTCCAGAGAGCTATTTTTTAGCACTGGATACCTAAAAACCTAAAGAGCCGAGCGAAACAGCCTAAAACCAAGACGTAGAATAGCTTTGGGATAGGTTTTTAAGTCGGGTGCTATTTTTTAGCCCTCCTGGAAGGTCAGGGCAGGGAGATAGTGCGCGGAGCCCTCCTCGGGGGGCCCGGGGCAGCCCCGCTGGCGCTGCAGCTCGTCGCTTCGGGCCCCTGGCGTCGAGTCGGGCGTGTCCCTCGTCAGGGGGAAGATCCAAAGATAGGCGAAACATGGTCGGGGACGACGTTCCTCCTGTTCTTGACTACGTTTGAGCATTTTTTGGGCGTTTCTGAATTTGTCGTGCAACATCCGCCTGTAGGAGGACACGCCCGACTTGACCCGGGCGCCCCCCGGCCAGTCCTCAGGGGCGGTCTGACCTGACCTCGGCGGCGAGCGAGGGGGGGAAGTGAGAAGGAGAGTGCCTTCTCAGAAAGCTCGGACGCCCCCCCGGCCTTCCGAGACGTTTCCGCTTAAGCTTTCCCCGAAGACAGAGCAGAGCTTCTCAGAAGGCGCGAGGGCTTGAAGTCCCGCCGCCTTCTGAGTAGGCCTTCTCCTTCTCATTTCCCCCCCTCGCTCGCCGCCGATAACCGACACCTGGCAAACCATCCCCCTCCGTGACGTCCCCGTCGCCTCGCCCTAAGACGCATGCATGCGGCCGCAGGGGAGCTCGAAAGGCGTGGAGGATGTCGCGGAAGGGGCTGGCCTGCTAGGGGTCGGTCAGGCACGCGCCCGCAGTCCCCCCGCCCCGAAGAGAGAGAAGCGGCACGAGCAGGGGCGCGCGGACCTCCGGTGTCGGCGCTGGAGCCCGCCCGGGAGCGGGGGTCCAGCGCCGACCCTGTGCAGTGGAAAGCAGTGCCGAGAGACCCTGCTTGCCTCCAGGGCACCCTGGGCTTCTTGGGCTTCGATGTGGTTCTGCTATGGAGACCGTGGCGTCCCCACACCAAAAAAGAATGGACCTCCCGGGGTCTCAGGGTTGGGCTTCTCGTGGCAGGTTCCTCGTGGCGCCGAGCTCCTGCTGCACGTCGCCGACGGATCGGCGAGGGGCCCCCGACAGCCAACCCGCACGGCCCTCCGCGCTCCTGGGCGGGGATTGGGCTGTCCCTCCTCCTCCTTCTCCTCCTCCTCGTCCCCCTCCTCCTCCTCCTCGTCCCCCTCCTCCTCCTCCTCTTCCTCCTCCTCCACCTCCTCCTCCTCCTCCTCCTCCTCCTCCTCCTCCTCCTATCGGGGGGTCGACGCGTCCGCCCCCTGCGCCCATCCCGCCCCCATGCGTTGCCCCTTTGGCTCTCGGGTTACAGCTCGGCTCTCGGGCGGCGCCCTCGCAGCGCTCTCGGAGAGGCGCCGCCGCTGGAGGGCACCCCGAGGCTGGAGAGCCGCCGAGAGCCGGCGAGGACGGTCGAACGCCTCGAGCCCCACAGCAGATCAGCGATCCGCCGCCGACTCGTTCTATGCAGGGGTCCATCCAGAGCAGGCCCCCCCTGGCCGCCTCCGGCCCTCTGGTCCAGGGCTGGACCCACAAGCGGTGTTCTGGCCATCTCGTGGGCTGCTTTGTTTTTCGTTTTGTTTTGCATTCAAGGCGGAACGAAGGCAAAACGAGGAAGAACGACAAACAAAACGAACACGAACAAAAACCGCTTGAGTTCAGCCCTGCCCAGGAGGAGGAGGAGGAGGAGGAGGAGGAGGAGGAGGAGGAGGAGGAGGAGGAGGAGGAGGAAGAGGAGGAGGGGGAGGAGAGGGAGGAGGAGGAGGGGGAGGATGGGGGAGGGGGAGGAGGAGGAGGAGGAGGAGGAGGAGGAGGAGGAGGAGCAGGAGGAGGAGGAGGAGGGGCCCTTCCAGCGCAGCCCCCCCCGCGCGGCCGCCTCCAGCCCCCAGGTCTACGCCATGGCGCTGCTGCGGGTGCGCCGCGAGGCGCGCCTCCTGCGCGGCGTGTGCGGGCGCGCGGCCGGCAGGATCGCCGAGCTGAGGCCCCAGGAGCCGGCAGGAAAACGATCGCAGGCCTATGTCGGGCGTTGGCGGGACTGGGTCAGTGGGACCTGGTTTTTGTGATGTGTACCGGGGGGCGCCCCCCCCCCCGTCCCATTTCATTATCCGGAATTGCTGTAATCCGAGAAGCATCAGCTATTGCAGACCTGGTTTAGTGATTCCGATCCATATTTTGGGCTTCGGGGACCAACCACTAACCGGCTCTCCTTAACCGGTGTCCTGGCTATACCCGACTATAGGTTGACACCAGCACCACTATCGGCGGTGTTCCTCCACCAAGGGAAGAAGATTTTGATCTCGGTGATGGTGGTCATATTCTGGCTTCCAGGGTGACCGAACTATTGCCACCAACACCGAAATCTAGGATCATCTTCCCCCTGTGGAGGCAACCCCCATGTGTTGGTGTTGGTGCCCATTTCCAGGCCTCCGAAACGAGATCGACTGCGCTGACACTTCCTCTACCAGAGGAATATTCAAGAATGGTCAAACAATGGTATGGGGACGATGTTTGGAATATGTTTGATCAGTTTTGGGTATTGGTTCCGTCTTTTTTGAATTTTTCGTCCAAGATCCGCCTGTAGGGGGAGGTGCCCGACCTAACCGTAGGCTTAAGTCGGGCATCGCCCTTTACCAGGGGAATTTTCAAGGCTAGTCAGACTAAAGTATGGGGGCCGAGGCTCTTGCTCTTTGCGCGCGAGCGGCGCAGGAAAATGAGATCGACTGCGCCGACCTTCCCCCGTAGGCTGCGTGCGTAAGGTCGCGCGCGGTCGCTCTCCTCTTTCCACGCGGTGTGCGACGCCGAAATTCCCCCGTAGGCTTAAGTTGGGCATGTCCCTCTACCGGAGGAATTTGCAAGGCTAGTCAAAAACTATAGTATGGGGGCGATTTTCTTGCTCTTTTTTGGATGATGCTCGATTATGTTCTGATTACCTTCTGTTTCTCCTTCAAAATCCGCCTCGAGGAGACCATGCCCAATCTAAGCGTAAGTTGCGTGCGTAAGGTCGCGCGTAAGCGCCCTCTTCTCCACGCGGTCTGCGACGCCAGCGACCCGCGCAAGCCGCTGCTTAAAGTTGGTATGTCCTATCGCGTAAGACCCGTTTCTTTTTGTTCCTCACGTGAGAGTGCCAGTTTATTTCGCCATATAGGTCTCTGGTGCGGGCTCACAGGGGTCCACCCACTGGATAGCAAGTCGCGGTTGGAGCCGGCTGGGTGGCTGAGGTGGCCCAGCGCTGGTTCTGGCCAGTAGAAAGAGGGGAGAAAGGGCCCCCTCGTCGCCACGGCTTGACGCGGCTCGAAAAACTTGTCAGTTTCGACCCCGGGAGGGGCCTGGGGACCGATTCTTGAGCGAATTCCGAATTCCTGTAAACATTCCCCCCCTCTGGACTGATTTTGTTAGAGCTTATCCAGCTCAGTCCCCCCGGCCGCCTCCAACGTGAGAGTGACCTTTCGTCGGAGTGACCTCGAGTTCGGGCTCACAGGGGTCAACCAAATAGACAGTAAGTCGTTGAAGCTTCCGCTGGTTTTGAATTCAATGTGCAGGGCCCAGCGACGCAGCGTGTCACGTCCAATAGCGTCCAGTAGCCCCGATTTGTACCCAGATGGCGCCCAAGAGCGCCATGCGAGGGGGATACGTTGCGTCCTCTTTGCACGGTGTTGGGCGATGTTGGACGTGCTATTGGACGCTATGCCGACGACCAGCAGCTTCCGTGAGTTGCTTCTAGCCCCAGCGCTGGCTTACGCGCTTGAATTTGGCCTCTCCGCAGCCCCCGCGGCCCCCCGACGGCACCCACCAGAGGTCGCTCTTGCCTGGGGTCAGCAATTGCGTGTGACCAAAGGAGTTGCAAGGGCGCCCTCGATGGCGCGAAGTTCTTCGCGCTTCGCGCTTCGTGGTTCGGTTCCGATTGCTCCGCATCGTCCTCGTCTCCCCTGGGGGCGGCGCGACAGCGCGAAGCTATTGCCGCTTCGCGCTTCGCGCGGCGCGAAGCGCGAAGCCAGGCGCCCTTGGAGTTGCAAGGGGGGAAGGCCACCCCGACCCCTGTCCATGGCGTTTGCGCAGGGATCTGGGGCCTCTGCTGTACAGCCGGGTCCTGCTCGGCTCCCTCCTCGACCTCGTCCTCCAGAGGTCCGCGCCCGTGTGGGTTGCTCTGCCGCGAGGGTGGTCCTGCTGCCCTCCCGAGGAGATCTCCAACGCGGTCTACGGCTGCGGCCTCCTCCGCTTCCAGAGCCGGGCCCTGCTGCGCGCCGCCTCCGAGGACGCGCCCGGCCGGCTGGCGGGCTTCGAGGCGCAGCACCTCTCGAACATCGTCTACGCGCTGGGGCTCGTGAGGTTTGACGAGCCCGGCTTGCCGACGGCCCTGTGCGAGGCTCTGGGGCCAGAGGCTCGGAGGAAGGAGGGCCGGTTGAGACAGCGGGCGTTGGCCTTCGGGGGGCCGCTCTCCGTCGCCACAGAGCCACGGCTGGGCGCAGCTCGGAGAATGGGTGCGCTTGGTCCGGGGGGCCGGCTTCGAGCTACGGTTGTCTCAGCTCGCCTTGCTCCGAGAGAAGGCGGCACGAGCCAAAGGCTTTCGGAGGTCCGTGCGGATTTCCTGGGTCGGCGCTGGCCTCCCCCCCCAGGGTCCAGATTCGATCCGACCGATCCGACTCGTTGCCGATTCTGGCCAGCTCCATCCGGGCCTGGAGGAGGAGGGGGAGGAGGAGGAGGAGGAGGGGGAGGAGGGGGAGGAGGAGAGGAGGAGGGAGGAGGAGGGAGGAGGAGGAGGAGGAGGAGGAGGAGGAGGATATGAAGAGGAGGAAGAGGAGGGGGATTTGGTGGGGATGGGGGAGCTTCTCTGCCTGCTTCTGCCGCAGGGGTGCCACGTGTTTCTCCCCGCGAGAGGCGGCCCTCGGACGGTTGGGCGAGTTCACCGCCCAGGGGCTGTCCAACACCGCCTACGGCCTCGGGCTCCTCGGCCTCCGGCACGCGGGCCTCGTGCGCGCGCTGGCCGCCCACGTGCCCGGCCGGCTGCGGGAGCTCTCGCCCCAGAACCTCGTGAACATCTGCTTCGCGGCGGCGGTGTGGGGCCGCCCCGAGCTGTGGGCCCGGGCCGGGGAGCCGCGGCGGGGCCACGGCGCCGAGGCTCGAGGAGAGAGGCGTGGCACGAGGTGTGCAGTGGGCGCCACGAATAATCACCGAGGGCGCTCCACTACTGGCGCAACGTGCCAACTCGCGGGCGTCAGAAAACACACACACACGCACGCGCGTTTGCTTCGATGTAGTGGATCGTAGAGCCCCCGCGGCGGATCCAGGCCATTCGCGAGCAGTGACCGTGCGAGTCGTGGAGCGCGCTTGTCTAGATAGGGAACGGGTATGGCCAGGGCCCCGGGTAAGGGGAGCCTGTCAGTGATAGGGCACCGACATCAAAACAAGTATATTGGCATTTTGGAACCAGGTCTACCGTAGCTTGTTTTTGGGGTGTTGGCAGCTCCAGTTCGTGGGCTGGGGCAGGGGAAGCGCCCCCCAGCACACATCATTAAACAGGATCCCAGTAAACACAGTCCTTCTAGGCTTCCTAGATGGGGTCGTAGTAGACGAGGTCGGAGGAGCGCGCCGCATCGCCAATGCATCGCCAACGCGGCTCGGTGTGCAGCCCTATTTGCTTCACGTCGACGTCGCCGATGCATCGCTGACGTCGACAATGCATCGCCGATGCATCGCCGATGTGGCGCGATCCTCCGACCCCATCTATTCCGACACCACCTGGGAGGCCTCTAGTCCGGGCAATGCCTGATAGAAGCTGGCCCGCGAGCAGGTCTTTGATGGACCTGTTTTCCACCACCACCACCACCACCACCACAAGTTTGAGGGGGGAGGAGGCGGAGAAGGAGGAGGAAGAGGAGGAGGAGAAGGAGAAGGAGGAGGAGGAGGAGGAGGAGGAGGAGGAGGAGGAGGAGGAGGAGGAGGGGACGACTTTCCTCCGCCACCGTCTCCCTGCAAGCGGGTTTTCTTCCGTCTCCGACGTCACGGACGACACCCAGACCTATACGCGAAGGTGCATCTCCCAAATTTTGTTTTTAATTTAACCCTTCGTAGCCCTTCCCTTCCCCCCTTTTCCTCCCCGCCCCAAACATCTGGCCGGGGCGGGGCATCCTATCCTCCCGGCCGGAGGCGATCCCTGTGGCCGGCGATGCCAGTCGGACAACATCTCGCTCTTGGGGGGGCACCCCCTCCTTTGCCTGGGGTCCTTCCCCCCTCCCGGGCGGCCTCCCCGCGGCGGCGGCGGGCGTCGCGGTTAATGCCCTCCCCTCCTGCTCCTGGCCACCCCCATCCTCTGCGGCACAGCCCGAGGTCCAACCTTTTAAGCGGGTTCTCGCCACGGGGGTACCTAGTGTACAGGTGTCGCGGGGTTTGGGGTGGGGGTGGGGTGGGATGGTGGTACCCCCCGCTCCTGCTTCCGTCGCTGGTGGTGGGCTGCTCTGGTGGGGGTATCGACCACCCGTCTGTGGGGGCCGCCCTGCGCGCCCTCCGGGCGTGACGTGGAAGGCCCTTCTCCCCTGAGGACTGGGGGGTCGGGACGGCGAACCGCCGCCTCATCGCTGTTGGATTGCTCGCGTGCGGTCTGCTTCGAGTCTCGGCGCTCGTCCGGCAGCGTCGGCCCCTGCGGGGCCCAGGTGCCTTGGGCACTGTCGTCTTCCGCCCAGGGCGGCGGCCGCTTGCCTTGGCCTCTCCTGGGCTCGGCTCGAGCCCTTTAGGGCCCCAGCTGGGGCCCCGTCGGGCGCGGCTCTTCCTTGGCCGTGGTCCCGTGGGCTGCCGTTTCGGGGCCTGATGGCTCCCCTGGGTGGCCCTCTGCCGCTGGTCCGTGGGGCCCATCTTTGTGGGCCCTTGTTGGCCCGGTGGCCGTCGGCCCCTTGGGGCTGTCGTTCCAGGGGGGCCTTTTTGGCCGCCCCTGGCTCGTTCGCCGTCTGTACTCCCGTTTGGTCGGGGCCTTCCGTGTCGCTTGCCGACTCGTGTAGGTCGTCCTCGTTGTGGTCGTTCGCTGGTGGGTTGTCGTTGGCGTTTCGTCGGCTGTCGTCCGCCCCGGCGGCGCTCTGGTCGGTCTCTCGTCGTTTTTTGCTGTCCCTCTTGCTGTCGTCGGTCGCTGCGTTCGCGTTCGTGTGGCTCCGCTTCTCTCCCCTCTCTTCCTTCTGGCTGCTGCCCGCGTGTGCTCTCGCGCTGGCTCCCTCCTGGCGTTTGGCCCCTCCTATCGTCCCGCCTCTCTCCTGCCCTTCGCCTTTCCTCTCGTCTCGCGCCTTCGCTGGGGGTCTGCGGTTCGCCCCCCCCCCCCCCCCCCCCCCCCCTTCCGCTCCCACCTTGCCAGCTCGCCTTGATTAGTCCCGACTGGCTGGTCGCCGCGCGACAGCCCGCGAAGGCAAAACGAGGAGGAGGAGGAGGAGGAGGAGGAGGAGGAGGAGGAGGAGGAGGAGGAGGAGGACCCCGTCCCCCTCCTACTTATGGTGGTGGCTGTGGAAAACGATCCCACCAGTCTCTTGTCCCCCCGTTGTCCTCGGGGCCCACAGAGGCCCTGGGGTTTTGTCGTGGAGGCTCAGAACTCGACGACGAGCGTTCCCTGACAACCGTGTAAGCCCGTGCCAAGGAGCACCCTGCTTGCCTCCAGGGTGCCCTGGGTTTCTTGGGCTTCGATGTGGTTTTGCTGTGGAGGGCGTGGCGTTCCCACACCAAAGATCAATGGACGTCCTGGGGTCTCAGGGTCGGGTTTCCTGTGGTAGGTTTCTTGCGGTCGAGCTCCTACTGCAGCTTTCTTGCGGCAGGATTTCTCATCGCATGTGTCCGCTGTAGACGCCACCGTGGTTCGCCACGGCCGCCCACCGCGCTCTTGCCCTGCGCGCATGGCTGCTGCTGCCCGCCCGGCTGCTCATCGTTGAATTCTTCGGCGTCTGAGCGTCCCTCCTCTTTCTCGACCGTCCCCCTCCTTCCTTGCATGCCGGCCAATTCGCCAGTTCGTGCCCCTGCATAGCTGCTCGCTGGAGCGGGTTTCACCGTCTCGCCGCCGACGAAGAAGGCGTCCGCTGCAGACGTTCGGAGGTCTGCGCCGATTCCTCGGGTCGGCGCCGGGTCCCCCTCCCTTGGCTCGCGAAGCGCGCCAGGGGCCGGCGCTGGGGGCGCCGCCAGGCGGGGTGAAGCGTCGATCCAGGAGCTCCACGTGGATCCCCGAAAGTCCACAGGGGAGCTGGAGAAACGTGGCCAGGGCCAGCCCTTTCATTTTCCAGCCCTAGTCGGTTTCTTCTGGTCTTTCCAGCCGCGGCTATCAAGTCCCAAGTGTTTCGGGTGTGTCCTGGCCCCTGCCAGTTTTTCTAGCCGTGGCCACTTCCACCTTCATTGAACTTCCAACATCCACTGTTTCAGGCTTCTCTGTATCGAGCTGCCGTGGCAAGCCTCGAGGGAGGTTGAGTTGAAGGCCCACCTGCACTTCAGCACGCGGCCTGAGCTCGAGTGGGTGCTAAAACTCGACCTCGTTCCCTCGACTGTCGGGGGCCTCTGAGGGGGCCTCTCGGGAGCCTCCTGTAGGGCCTCTTTAGCCGTCATGTGGCTCCAGGGTTTCTGGAGCAGGCCGTGTGCACCATCGTCAGAACTATCCCAAGTCCGACCGTGACAGGGTAAATCCCCCCGCTTGCTCACTCTAGGCGGGGCAGGTCGGCAAGCGGGGCCACGGTTTTTTCATGCGCGGGCGTGGGTGTCTGTCCTTGTCCAGACACGCGACTCAAAGATTCAAAGCTGGACCCCCCTCGCAGGGAGGGAGAACAGCAGTCAGAGTAGGAGCTTGGAGGGACGGGAGAGGAGGTGGATCTGTATAAACGGTCGACTCTCAGGTTCAACCCTCTCGAGGTGGGGATGGGGGCTGCGAAACCCGACGGAGACGGCAGCCAGCCCCACCCGGGGGGCGCATGCCGGCCGCTGGGCCCAAGGTTTCCCCCAGTTGGGGTGGGGATGTTTTTTGTTCCGACGAAGGGCCAGGATGGCCACGACATGGCACGGTGGCGGTGTATAGATGCCTTCAGCGTATTTTTGTTTCAGTGCAACATCGTGAGAAATCACGACTGGAACCCTGTACCCCCATCTTTGTGGAACTCGTGGGGCCCGATCGCTCCGCGAGGGCCTCGGGGCGAGAGGCCAGGCGGAAGGCGCGCCCGGTGTGAAAGACGTCAGGTGCCCAGCTCTCGAGCGATGGCCAGAGGCTCGGAGGTCCCGGCCACGCCCTCGGGGCCGGCTTCCCTCCCCGATTTGCTCTCCGACGATTTCCGCTTCGCAACGCGTTCGTTGTGTGTGTGTGTGTGTTTTTGTTTGCTGTCCTTCTCCCCTCTCTTTCCAGGCCTGCGGCCTCGCGGGAGAGGAGGGAGAGCGAGGAAGGGGAGGCCGAGGAGGGGCGAGGAGGCGGGGGGTGGGGAGATGATGCACCACCACAACAGAACATTTTCCCGGCAAAGCAACCTAACAGCGATGTGTAGGAGCATATTTGGAATCATTCCCCTTAAGATTCAGATGAAAATCCAGTTGTAGAATTCTGCTGTTCTCGCAGTCGTAGTCGCATTCGCGATGACAGTCGCAGTGGCAACGGCAGTCGCAGTCACAGCCTCAGCCTCAGCCTGCCTCAGCCTCGCCTCAGCCTGCCTCAGCCTCAGCCTGCCTCAGCCTCAGCCTCAGCCTGCCTCAGCCTCAGCCTGCCTCAGCCTCAGCCTGCTTCAGCCTCAGCCTCAGTCTGCCTTCAGCCTCAGCCTCAGCCTGCAGCCTCGGCCTCAGCCTCCGCCTCAGCCTGCATCAGCCTTCAGCCTCAGCCTCAGCCTGCCTCAGCATCAGCCTGCCTCAGCCTCAGCCTCAGCCTCAGCCTGCCTCAGCCTCAGCCTCAGCCTGCATCAGCCTCAGCCGCAGTCTGCCTGCAGCCTCAGCCTCAGTCTCAGCCTGCCTCAGCCTCAGCCTCAGCCTCAGCCTGCCTCAGCATCAGCCTGCCTCAGCCTCAGCCTCAGCCTGCCTCAGCCTCAGCCTCAGCCTGCTTCAGCCTCAGCCTCAGCTGCCTCAGCCTCGGCCTCAGCCTCCTGCCTCAGCCTCAGCCTGCATGAGCCTCAGCCTCAGCCTCAGCCTCAGCCTCAGTCTGCCTCTCAGCCTCAGCCTCAGCCTGCCTCAGCCTCAGCCTCAG